GCTCAGTACAGTGAGTAACACAAGCAGATCAGTCTAGCATCCAAGGCCAGGGGAAAAGGTGGTTTTTTTTTTAAATTGTGTTTTATTTTTGGTAGTGGGAATTGAACTCAGGGCCTTCACACTGAGCTGCATCTCTAGACATTTTTGAAACAGAGTCTAAGGTACTCAGGCTGGGATTGAATTGATGATCCTCCTATCTCAGCCTTCCAGAATACTGGGATTATAGGCATGCACTACCATGCCCAGCAGTTTTCCCTATTAAACTTAGAAATTTTTAAGCAGTGATAGGTTTGGGGGTTTTTTGGTTTTTTGTTGTTTTGTTAGGGTTTTGTTTTGTTTTGATGTTTCTAATCCTGTAAGAGAGCCAGTTTTTAAAGAATGGTTACTTATAAAACTAAGTGCCCATCCACCTGCCTTCCTGTATTTAATTTAAAAAAAATATTTGGGGAAGGTTCTATTGGTATTTTCATTCATTCATTCAATTTTACTTCATGACAACTAAAATTTAGACTCATGGTAAGAATGAAACATGTCATATAGAAAGAATATTGTCACCTGCCTTTATTTAAACACGTTTTAAAAACCAGTTAAATACATTTTAGAGTAATCACCTAGTCTCCATCCTTCCATCTTATTGACAAGACTGTTGAGATCGAAAAGGGCCTGAACCTACAATCAATGAAAGGAAGACCACCTTAGATATAGCCCAGGTTTCTTGACACCAGGCTTGTGCTGTACTATCACTCTGGGCTTTACACTCACTGAAACAGAAAAGAAAGAAAATGTGGATTTCCTGAGACAATACAATAGCTTTAATTTAATGTTTCAGTTTTTTAATTTGAAAAACACATATATGTTAACGTTGACATTCCACTTAATACAAACAGATGAGAGTCTTGCAAGGTCATTAATAGTTAATATTCCTGCTATGTATGTTTTTCTCAGTGAGCACACAGACCAGCAGGTTCACAAATAACATAAAAGCAAACCATTTCTTTTGCAGTGTCTGCAGTGAAGCACTGAGTTACTTCCTTACTCTAACATCAGAAAGTCATCGGGAAGCCTGGACTAACTTACTGCTGTTGTTTCTAACTAAAGTTCTAAAGATCAGTGACAATAGGGTAAGTGTGAGACTTCCTAGCTAGCTCTGAACTTGTCACCCATCCGTCATAAGAACTGTGAGGCAGAGTTAGGGATCCCACTGGCTGTGAGGACCACATGTGTCCTCGGATTGCTCCCTCTGATCAGTGATTCTATAGCAGGATTCAGTGGGGGAGGAATCTGAATCCCCTGGGAAACTTTGGCAAGCTTTTAGATTCCCCTAATTTCAAAATTCTTAATCTGTTTCTGGAGACATTGAAATTGCCCATTTTCAAAACAGCTGCACAGCCACCCCATGGGCTTTCTCTCTGCTCCCATCTTAAGGCCATATCTGGTTGCTGGGCTTGTGTTCCAAGCTATGGCCATCATTTGGCAGTGACTCCATGTGACCATAACGTCTAGTGAAAAGGCTATGAACTTGCTTAAAAATTTTAAGCTAGCAAAAATAAAGATAAAAATGCTACTACATAACTGTATATGTAAATTCATATTTAAGGTTTTCAAAAATACACATTTAACCCAAAAATGTACAGTAACTTACATGTTATATACAAGACATTTTGCCTTGCTGTAGCCTCCAAATAAGTTTAAAATTGAAACTTTAGGCTAGTGGTGTATGGGACCCTGTAGAAGCAGGAGTCATTAGGTGCTGTTGTGTGTTCATGCCAAGTCACATGCCTGTGTCCAGTTGCATTTCTACCTGACTGATGGTCCAGGCAGAACAGAAAAACTCCAAACCTCAGGGTGTTTTACCGGTTACTTTCTTGCTGCAGCGTATCATACAGCTTCCCTGTATCCAGTGGAGTACAGAAGAGCAGGAGAGGAAATACCACTTGTAGTATTTAGAGCTGATGTAATGACAGCAAAGATGCAGTCCAAGTACTGTATATAAATTGAACTTTAAAAATGGGATATGTATACTTTTGCTTGGAGAATGTTTTTATGTTTTATATTGCAGTATTAGGTAGTATTTTTCCCTAAAACTTAATGTATTAAAACACACAATTCCAATGACCCTTACAAAATTGTAGTTCCTGTTCAGGTGCTTTACTTTTGCTTATTATCCAAGAACAATGCTGAATTACAAGTTCCTCAAAGATACATAATGGAAAATGTTTTTCAAAACAGTGATAGATACATAAAGTGGGTTTCCATTCAGGTCTCACAATTCTTCTGTCTTTTGGTTTTGTAACCCAGGCAGTCACTGCCTGACGCAGGCCCTGCCAACCTCTATCTTCTGTGGTTTGTGTGCGCCCCCAAGTGCTGACTCCTAAGGAAGTTTTAGGTTCCTTGGTTTGCATGTAAGCACTACTAATGGAGAAATTCATTTCCGCCCCCCCAGTTTAAAGCTCATGCATCATTCTACTACCCTCTCTTATGTGAAATTATGCAATTTGACTTGATTCCTGAACTTCGCGCTGTCCTCAGAAGATTTTTTCTGCGAATTGGAGTGGTTTTCCAGATATCACAACCATGTGAACAGGAACTTGGAATAAACAAGCAGTGATGAGAATTCAGCATCTTTCTGTTGATGTTTACATCTTTTTGCTCTTTAAAAGAACCCTGGAGCTGAGGTTTCTGTCCTGAAAAACTACTTCTCTTAAGGCAGTATCTGAAAGTTACTGGTAAAGATGACTAAAACTCAAGCTTGAACTCTCCAGTCCCTTTCAATAATCTGGTGGATTCTGTGTATCTAGTTGGGCTCATGTTGAGCAGAAAGCCTGTTTAAACTGTGTCAGCTCGTGCTTATGAGTCCTCCCTGTCCTCTGGGGACAGGGACAACCCATATATTTTTGGCAGGTGTGGGAGTGAAACTTACCCAAAGAACTATAGATGTAAAGATTGAACTTCTGTAAGAAGTACAACTCAGGAGAGCTGTATTTTGAAGGATAAAATGTTTATAATTTGGGGGTGGGGTAGGGAAGAAATTATTGTTCACGGAAAAAGATATTTAGCAACTATGGTATTCTTCTGGAAATTTTTGCACACTCAGGCTTATCTGAGATACTGGTAATCATCCTTCTGTGAAAAATGTACAGAAATGCAGGCCTGTAATATAAAAATCTTAAACATTAGTTTTTCCTGCACTGTTTTATTTTCTTTACTTTCTTACCCACTTGCTAAACACCCATAATATTTTGTCAAATGCACTAAACATTTTGGTTGAACTTTCTGTCTTTATTTGGTGGGGACTTTTAGTTTTGCTCTTTTTGAGGGGTTGGAATTTTGAGGGTCTGACATGCCCAGCAGCTGTTGTGGCTGACACTTTTAAAGATCAACACATGGGGCAGAAAAAAAAAAAAAAAGAAAATATCCCTACTGACAATAACTACCTGTAATATACTTAGGGCTTTTAAAGATGAGCCATGAAAATAGAATGATCTTTTCATGGACCGAAACTTGAATCACTGCAAACGAATCTAGGTTGCTGTCACTTTCTTTCCTTTTGGGTGGCGGGGCTTGATGTAGATTTTACTGTATGTACAGAATTTATTGTTGAATATATTAAAATAACAAATCTGGCATGGCTTGGGGACGTTAGGGTTACTGGAAATGTATTCATACTGTGAACTGTGCTCTGATGGTTAAAAGACAAGATTGTCAAGCATTCCGTATTACCAGTGGATGTAGAAAATTTTTTCAGATGGATAAAATGTATATGGTACAGATGTAAAGTTTTCTATGTAAAAAATTCTGTACAACTTTCTGTACAATATTGATTCTCATCTGGCATATTCTAATCAGGTTATAGGTCAATAAAGTTTTTGAATTACTTCATCAATGCAATCAAACCTTATGTGGCCCACAGCCCCATGTTTCATTGATTCTTTTTGATTTTTTTTTAATTAAAAGACGATAAAGGGCAGTTTGCAGCCAGAACTATGAAGCAAGAATCTGACTCTTTGTTTCTGGCATTTCACCTCATGCCTTTCTTTCTTAATCACAGGAAAGACAAAATTATTTGTATCCTTTTTTTTCTTTGTCTTTGTGGGGGGTAATCAAAGTTTGGGAATCAAACTCACGACCTCGCACTTACCAGAGAAATGCTTGTACCACTGAGAAAAATCCACAACTCCATTTAGGAATCAGAATAAGGTCATATGTTATTTAAAAGCAGAAAGAAAAAGATGACATTCTCTTGGGGGCAGTTTGCATTGTGATACTGTGTATCCTAGTAGTTAGTTCAAGTTAGGTGGTACATAACTTAAAAAATGGAATATCAGGTGTAATTTAAGAAGGTTGTGTTAAAAAAGCAGGAAACATGATCTTTGCTTTCCTATCTTCTGTAACTTTCTAGCAAGGTATTGAACAGCGTGTTACCTGTGTGTATTAATCACTATGTGACAGTTCTGTTGAAAGCTAGGTGGATGCTAATGCTAAGAGTTACCTGCCTTACTAGCTGGGAGCCATCCTGATCTTCCAGTTTAAGTGCTTCATGCCCCCGGCAGTTTATTATTTAATGCAACAATGCCAAGACTCCTTAGGGGAAATAGACTTGTTCTTGCAGGCAGTAACTGTAGAAAAGTCTTTAAGCAAATAATGGTTAAGATTAGAAAATTGAATATAAAATATACCTGTAGCCAAAACTTGAAATATCAAAAATTACACAGTTGGGGCAAATTCTGACCTTGTCTGACCTTGTCTTCATCTGTGAAGATGTCAGAGAAGCAGGGTCTGAGTGTTCTCAGCTGTTGTGTATTCTCTGGAGAGACTAACCCATTAAGAATTATTTTCCAGAATTTGAATTCATCTTTCCTTATTTAGAAAGTGCTTGATAACTAGAAAAGCTGACACATTTATCAAAAGGTCCATGATGGAGCAGATTTCAGTCTCGAAATCATTTACCCACAGGTGTTCCTACTTCAGCTTCAAGAAACCTTAATTCCAGGTAAAAGAAATTGACATTGGTAATAAAAATAATTTATTTGTCAGGAAGTCGTTAAATCATATAAATTGGTAAGTTGACATAATTGTCTATCAGCATAAAAATGAAAGAGACTGAAAGATAAAACATTTAGTGTATGGTTCACAGGAATAAATTAATTGTAGCTCCCTCCATTTCTACTAAATCAGTACCTAGAAATGACATGAAAATAGCCCATTTAATAACAATTGGAATTGTCACAGCTACAACAGATGTAAATTCTTTGAAACAAAAATAACCATGGCAAATGTGCAAATAATAAAGATAATTCTGGTTTTAGAACATTGTTAAGACACATTTTATTCATCTTATCTTAATGACAAGCAGAATTTAATGCACATATGGTATAGGTTATTACCATCCTAATACATGGCAAAACTGTGCAAAAATAATTCTATACAATTATATAAATCAATAATCATGGCCTCATGTATACTATATATATATCATCATCATGGAAAAATACACTTTATACAGAGAAGGACCATAATTTCAGGTAGGGGCCCAAAGTAGAATATATTAATGGCACAGATTTAACATTCCTTTCACCATAAAGGCACTACTGGGTCCAGTACAGCTTTCTCTTAACCATGGGCAGTAGACAGGCCCTGCCAAGTAAAGGTGCCTGGCTTTCCAGGAGCCTGCTGCTGCTCCTGGTTGAGCTGTTCAGCCATGAAGTGTTTCAGGCTTTCTGAGGTACCAGGGCGGAGCCACGGCTCAGTTGCTACAGAGTTTGATCCATCATCACCCACATGTTTCATGATGTCATCAGGGTCAACCAGTGAACTTTCATCATCTACAAGAGACAAGAGATGCATGACTCAGGTTGGCACAGATGGCACATGGGTGGCAGGTGGTACACAGTTTACCTGTAGCCCACATCACTACAGCTATGCATCACTCACAGTATCATGTTCTCCACTGTTTGTTTTGTTCAGATCCCACCTCCTTTATAGGCAGGAAAGCAGGGCGAGAAAAGGACCAGGCCAGGGGGAGGGAGCAAAGGTACCCTATGGCACTGGCACCTAGGGGAATTCAGGCGTGTCAGTCTGAGGAGACTCTGAGACCCTGACCACAGAAGCACAAGCAGTCTTTCTTTTAATTGTTACCTCGAGAGATTTAATGGCTAAGAATCAAAATTTAGTCAGGTCCAAGGGATACTACCAACCTATACTACTACTAATTCAGTCTAGAAACTGAACGTCATTTGGGGAAAGCACCAGTTGGGATGAGATAACTTTTACAACTGCTCTAATACTCCAAGTAGGCTGTGTCTAGTCCATAAGAATAGCTCTTGTTTCTTACTCCTTAGTTGAATTTGATTTATTCAACTTATGTATTCTTTTTTCTCCTTAGGTATAATAGGAAAATCTTATCCTACCCTGTGATGTCAATTTCTTTAAAAAAAAAAAAATTACATTTCCTGGTCTGTGAAGGATTAGCCCAGCACAGGGGTATTTGCAGTCAGTTTAATGAGCAGTCAATCCACACTGTACCTAAAAGTTCCTGTTTGAAAGGACAGTGTTAAAAAAACAGTTTAGACTTGCAGACTAGTCTTAAAATGCTCTATGCTTTTAATATATCTTCTCAAATGTACACATGCATGAAGTACTAATTTACTGGTTTTAAAAGAAATGCAATTTTCAATACAAATAAGAGAATACCTTTTAGATAAAGGTAGGATATGGTATGAAAATATTCCTTCAGTTCACCTTATTTCCTAGTGTTCCATGTGCAATTCTAACCATCAGAACACATCATACCTGGACTAGCTAGAGAATATATGAGGTATGATTAATAAAGTTTTTAAAATTTACGGTGGTAAAAGATAACGCCATTAACCTCCCTCAAAATACTCTTCCCCCTTGCTTTGAACACTCTGCCAGGTCTAGTGAATACGGTAGATGAGGACACTTGCAATGTTTCTATGACCCTACATTTTCATTGGGTGGTTACTGGCCACAATGTTTTTAATCACACCTAGCAAAGGCACTTCAGCCAGTGGCAAGAACAATGGTTGTGTTTGAAGTAAGGGTGACTAGGCTTGAGGGTATGTTACTGCAATAAATGCTAAGCACTATATTTTTTAATCAGCCTTTGTGTAAATATTTTAAATTACCACAGTAGTTCAGAATTAAACTTCCAGTATTAGCATTATAGTTTTAAAAGTAAATTAAAAATATTTTAAAAGTTGTTATTAGAAATATACTACAATGTAATATAATAGGCTGTGGATACCATTTATTTAAGCTAACCGTAAGACAAATTGTCTCATTACCCCGTGAGTATGCAATAAAAAGGAGTGTCACTGAACGGGCAGAGGAGCTCAGGAGTTGTCTAAAACTATCTGACACATGTGCTCCATGACAAGCTTTCTTCACCATCTAGTCACCAAATGCACTCAATAAAAAGACTGACTTAAATATCAACCAATGAAAAGGTAAAAATTTTGTTGGTATTTATTATAATACATGTGTTTAAAAACTCAAAAGTCTTTAAAAAGTTTCTGATAATCTCTCACTTTAGTAACTACCATATACCATCATGCTAATGAACATTTTTTTTCCAGCTAAGGACAAAGCATGGATATATTTCATATGCAAAAGGATTTGCATATGAAATATATTTTTATTTTAACTGTTTAGAATCCATTCCAAAATAGATACCCTCCCTGTTGGAGAGAAATACGATGCAAAATTAGTCCTGAGAGCTGGTTTTGCTAGATGATTTTACAGTGTCCTGGGCCATACAACTCAAAGGACTTCAAAACACTCAGTCCTTCTAGCTATCAGTGAAAACTTAATGTGAGCAAGTTTGAGTTCCTACAGGATTTGCTACAGTCCATTAAACTTTACCATTTACCTGTGTTAATAGGTTTATTCTGAAGTTCAGTCAGTCTTCGCATACGTTCCTCATTTCTCATTCTAAGCTGATCAACATTTATACTGGAGACAGATCTTAAAGAAAGGCCATCTGGTGGTATATTAGGACAACTGGTATCCTGAAGTTAAAATTTCAGAAATATTAACATAAAACAACAAATCAGTGAATTAAAATGTTCTTGCCCTCAAATGTGCTTTATGATTAACAAAACAAGTGAATGAAGCATCTGTATGCTGACTTCTGTGTTTATCCCTACAGACTCCGATGACTTTCAGTCAAGCTAAGGTATAGCATTTATGATGACACAGAAATGCTGCCAAATGTGATAAAAGTTTGGAAATTATACAGCACAAAAGGAAAAGAATTGAAACTACATGGGCTAAGAGTTCAGCCACAGCAATCAAGATACTGTGGCAGTGCAGAAAGTAGGCATACAGTCAATGGAAGAAAAGGGAGAATCCAGAAATCCTCACATTTCTGGAATAAGGAACCAACAAAATGCAGTTAAGGGGAAAAATAGACTTTTGACAAAACACTGGAATTACTGCATATCCACATACAAAGGAATGAACTTGGATTGATTCCACTATCCTTGCACTACTTGCAGAATTAATTCAAATCACAGACCTAAATTTAAGAGCGAAGAATATAAGCCAAGTCCAGAAGTACATCTTGATGACCCTGGGCTAGATGATATTTCTTAGATAAAGACATCAAAAGCTCGAGTGATTTTAAAAAATTAAGTCACAAAACGTAATACTTCTATGCTTCAAAGAACACTTTGAAAAAAAAAAAAAGACAACCTACTAAATGGGAGAAAATACCTGCAAACCATACATCTGTAACAACTAACAGCCAGGATTGTATAAAGAAACTTTAAAACTTCAATAAAAAGACAACACCCAATTTGAAACTGGTGAAAATGGACACAGGATTTGAGTAGACCTTTCTCCAAGATAAACAAGAGGCAGAGTAGCACATGAGAAAATGTTTTAACATCATTAGGGAAGTGCAATTTAAAATCTATTAACATCCCTTAACCCTCATAGGAAGGCTATCATCAGAAAGAGGTAAGTAACCCATGCTGGCCAGGATATGGAGAAGTTGGAATCTTTACACTGCTGTAAGTATAAAATATGAAAAATATAAGGTATAACAGTGCAGCTCCTTTAGGAAGGGGCAATTCCTCAAACTGCTGAATGTAGTGTGACCACAATTCTAAGTGCTTTCTTAGAAATGAAAAGAGCAAAAACTTGCATATAAATACTAACCGCAATCACTTAGTCTTTTGGCTAAGATCCAGTGGAATCTAAACAGCAGCAGTCAAAATCATATAATCAACAGTTGCTTATGAACTCTACATAACGAATGCTGAGCAATAAATCAAGTACTGACACATGACACACAACATGATCCATCAAAAACATGAAGTCAGCCAGAAACAACTGTGTGATGCCCAATCTGATACATACAAAATGTCTAAAAAGCAAATCATTATTGAGACCAAAGTGATTAAGTGGTTGCCTAAGGCAACAAAGTTTCTGCTACCTGGTAAAGCTGTACATACATAATGCTAATTAAAAGCAACATCTCTTATTTGTTAGAAGCTTCTTGTACACTTAGGCCACATAAATTATCTTTTTGTCATTCAGAAAAAAACAGAGATACACAGAAGAGAAAATGGTTTTGAATCTCAGCCTTGTTCATGTGACCAAGGGTAGGTCACTTGATCCAAATATAACACATGCTGTATAAGAACTTATTAGGATAGAACAGACTTTCTGATAGTTACCAGCTGCTGCTTGTGCTCTGACCCATACATTCTATAGGGCAAAAGACAAAGATTGGGGGAATGAATTAACAGGACAAATCTCTGTGCCAGTTACAGAGCTTTACGTATAGCTATCCCCCAAGAGATAAGAAAATACTGTGACCTTGAAGAATTAAAAAAGCTACAAGAACACTGAGCTAACTGATGTGAGAGTCTCTGTAGACCATGTCTACTTCATTTCACAACAAAACAGTCCTCTTCATTGGACCACACAAATGTAGCATGGGTCAGAACCCAGACCACTCACGCTTCTAAACTGAGAAGGGAGCAAAAATGATACTTCACACTTACAAACTCCAGTCCTTTCAATTTGTTCCTCCTGCGCTCTCTTGCAGAGGGGATCTGCGATGGTTGAGGGAGGGCATCATCTTCTATGGCAGGATATGTCTCCCCATAAGCACCTGAATGAGTCACACAGGAGAAGTTTGTTCGTATTTCAAATACTTTACCCAGAGCTAAACCAAGATGTTATTTACAGTCAATAACATACACTCATTGTAAGTTCAAAGCTCAATGATTCGTAGTGAATTTAAGAGTTGCAGAATAATCACTACAATCTAGAGCATTACATCACCTTAACCAGCTCCCCTGTACTCAATGGCAGTCATTTCCCAGCTCCAGGTCAACACTATCTCCTGTGTCCTGCTTGACAGATTTACCTTATCTAACATTTCATGTAAATGGAACTCTCATAATCTGTTGTGCCTTTCACTTAGCATAATGGGTTTGAGGGTCTTCTATTGCTGTCATGTCACTAGCACTTTGTGTTTTACTGCTTAGTACTGCACCATATGAGCACATCACATTTTATCTGCAAATTTACAAGTTAGTCAACCTTGCTAGAGGTTGGCACTTATAAATAAAGCTATAAACATTTATGCACAACTGTTTCTGGCGTGTATACCAAAGAATAAATTTGTTGGATAGTATACTAACTCTGTAACTACCAAAGGCATTTTCAAAACAATGGTACCATTTTACATTGAAAGAAGCTTTCAGTGTTTCTACACATTCTCACCAACACTTTGTATTGTTGGGAGTTATTCTTGTAATAGCCATTATGGTAGTCCAGTAGTCTATAACCATGAAGAACAGCCCATATAATCTTGCATTTTTATTGTTTCTCTTTGAAAAATTTAAACCAAGAGAAAAGTTAAAGTAAAATGAATATGTAGAGTGACAATTTATTATTTTGCCAATTTCTATGTTATGTTTTGAAGGCTAATGTTTCTTTTTGTCGAGCTACTACTTTGCTAAATCAGTAAGGTAGAGAAATCATGGCACTTCCTAAGTACTTTCATGAGTATCTTTAAGAATAAGAACTTAGGGCTGGGGATTTAGCTCAGTGGCATAAGCGCCTGCCTTACAAGCAGGCAGTTCGATCCCTGGTACCGATAAAAAGACAAGAAAAAAAAAAAAAAAGAACTTATTCTTAACACAGTTATAATCTAATTATACTCAGGAAACAATGTAGCTGATGTTCAGATTTTCGAAATTTATACTGTCAGACTTTAAAAAAAAGTAATAGCTAAATAAAATTTTTGAGTTTTTTGTATATTTTGCCATTAATTCATTTGTTTTAGTATCATTTAAGTTCAAAGCAAAACTGAGTAGAAGTGTTCCTGCTGCCCCTGCAGACAGTCTCCCCGAGTACAACATCCATCACCACAGTGGTACGTCTGTGCCACCAGTGAACCTAATATTATTGTCTCCCAAAACACACACTTTACATTAAGGTCCACACTCAGAGTTGTACATTCTGTGGGCTTTATGACAATGTGTCACAACATGCGTCTGTCACGGTAGTAGTATACAGAATAGCTCCCTGTCCTGAAAGTTCTCCATGCTCTCCGTATCTTACCCCTTACTCTCCCTTAACTCCTAGCACCCTCTCTTCTATGACCTTGCCTTTTTTCAGAATCTCTTATAGTTGGAAACAGACTGAATGTAACATTTTCTGGCTGATTTCTTTTACTTACTAGCAATTTAAGGTTTAAGTTCTTCCATGTTTTTTCACAGTAGCTTAGTAGCTCATTTCTTTTTAACACTAGATAATACTCCATTGTCTGGGTGTGCCACTGTTTATCCATTTACCTAGTGAATGACATCTTGGTTGCTTTCAAATTTCAGCAATAATAAATAATGGCTGGTATAAATACACGTGTGTCGCCAGGGATTTAGCTCAGCAGTGTAACTGCCAGACTGGCAAGCACTAGGTCATGAGTTCAATCCGTGGTACCAAAAGAAAAACAACAACAATAACAAAATACACATGTATCTTTATGCATATAAGTTTTCAACTCCCCTGGGTAAATACCAAATAATGCAACCCCTGGACTGTATGATAAGAATATTTACTTTTAAGAAGCTGCCTCACTGTCTTCCAAAGTAGTTGCATACTTCTCTAAGTTTTCAAGTTGATTCCTACAGTTTCTACAAACATGCTATCAGTGAACAGAGACAATTACATTTCATCCTTTCCATTCAGCAGAACTTCGATTTCCTTTTCTTGCCTTTCTGCACAAGCTAGGAGTTCCAGTAGAATAGTAAGGAGTGGTCCAGTTTTCTAGATGTTCTTTTATTAAGTTGGGGGATTTCATCTCTCTTCCTGGTGCCAGGTAATCAAATTTACTGGTACAGAGTTGTTCAATAGTATTCCTTGATTATTTTTTTAATGTCCATGGTATCTGTACTGCTGTCCTCTGTTCCTGTTTCTGGTATTAGTAACTTGTATCTTTCTCTCTCCTTGTACCCTGTTGCCTGGCTAAAGGTTTATCAGTGTCAGGGACCATCTCAGGAGAAGCACACTTGGCTCTTGGTTTCATCAATTTGATTTCCTGTTTTAAATCTCACTGATTTCTGCTCATTTTTATTATTTCCTCTCCTGCTTTAGATTTGATTTGCTTTATTTCTGGTTTCCTATTGGGGAAGCGAAGATTATTGATTTTAGATCTGTTTTTCCAATACATACATACAGTGCTATAAATTTTCCTCTAAGCATTATTTTTTTTTAATTTTATTTAAAAGGAAAAAGAAAAACACAAAACAAAACAAAGCGGTGTAAGGGTACACGTAATACAGAACTACAAAAAAAAAAAAAAAAACAGTAAGAAATCACCTGTTAATAGATTACATATTATCATCTTAGAAATAGTTGCTCAAATCACAGTATCAAAGATTACAAAGTAGACATTCAGAGAGACTGCAAACAGCTGTGTTCAATGATCCAAAAACATTAATATAGTCAGCTATTTAACACCCATCTAAGCATTATTTTTGTTACATCCCACAAATTCTGTAAGTTTAATTTTCATTTAGTTAAAAATTTTTAATCCATCTTGACCTTTTTCTTGCTTTGACCTATATATTACCTAGAAGTGTCATATTTAATCTACTAATTTTCTAGTAATCTTTGTTATTGATTTTTTTTCACTGTGGTCTCAGAATTCTCTCCTTCTGCGTGACCCAGAACATGACTATTTTTGTCAATGTTGTATGTGTACCTGCAAAGAATGTGATCTGCTGTTGTTAACCAAAGTAGTCTACAGATACCCATTAAATCCAGTTAACTGATGATACTGTTGAATTCAGTTGATAACCTTCATTGATTTTCTGCATGTTGGCTTTGTCAATTTTTGATAGAGTGGTATTTAAGCCTCCAAAATAACGACTCATCTAGTTCTCCCTGCAGTAATATGAGTTACTGCCTCATGTATTTTTACACTCTGTTACTAGGGACCTAAATGTAAAAGCTAAAACTATAAAACCCTTATGAGAAAAGCATAAGAGGAAAGCTTCATGACACTAGATTTGCTAATGACTTCTCATGTACAAAACCAGAAATACAGGCAACAAGAACATTAATTGGACTATATTAAATTAAAAACTTACATGTATCAAAGGACACAGTCTCTAGAGAAAGCATTTTCAAGTAAGGTTTGGCATCTAGGATGAATATATACATATATATATATATATATATATATATATATATATACACACACACACATATATTCATTATATATCATTATGACTCAGCAACAAAAAAAACCTAAAGCAATGTAATTTTTAAAACTGGCAAAAGAATAGCTATTTCTCCAAGGAAGATACTCCAATTGTCAATAAGCCCATGAAAAGATGTTCACATCTCTATATAATTACAGAAATAATCAAATCCACAACAGGACACCACCTCACCCAGTAAGGATACTAATATGAAAAATATAAAGGAACAGTGTTTTTGAAGATGTGGAGCTAGCAAAACACTGTGCACTGTTGGTGGGAATGTAAAAACAGGAATATAACTTCCATGTGATCCAGCAGTTCTCACTCTGGGGGTATGTATATCCAAGAAAATGGAAAACAGTGACTCCAACAGATACCCACATTCATAGCAGCATCATTCACGGTAGTCAAAAGATGGAAACAACTTAAATGGCTGCTGATAAATGAATAAGCAAAATGGTGCACACACATATATACATACATAAAAGTATTGTTCATTTTAAGAGGATATGGTGGATATCTGCTCCATTTTGGATGTAAGGACTTTATGTTAAGCCAGCCAGAAAAGGAGAAATACTGTATGATTCCATTTATATTAGTGCACAAAGTCATCAAATTCATGAAATTAGAAAGTAGAATCGTGGTTGCCAGGGATTAGAGGGACAGGACTGGGGAATTATTGCTTAATATAAAGAGCATTTTCAAATTGAGGAGTTATAGAAATGAATGTTGAAGTGGTACACAATAATGTGAATGTAATTAGCGCCCCTGAACTTAAGTATTAAATGGGTAAAACAATAAATGCACACACACGTATTTTTTTTACTTTACTTTAAAAAAAAAAAAATCCCTGAAACCATCAGATTTCCTAGAGCAGTATAACACAGTCACCGCTGTGGGATAGTTAATGACCATCAGCCACAAACACAGAGCGTGGGCAATAAGGTCAAGAGTAATATTACAAGACTCCACTCTGAGTGGCCCAGACCATCCTCCCGGCTAGGAAGGTCAGGGCACACTTCCCTGCTGCCTCACAGAGGAGCCATCTTCCCACCCGTCTCCTGCTGATCTACCTTTATTCACTGTCCTCAGTATAGTGTCCTTTGGAAAGCTCAGTACATACTACAACATAAACTAATTTAGAATTTTTATCACAACATGTAATTGACATAAATACAACTAATATGTAGAAGAGATTATTCCTAGTGGTTCTAGGATAGCAGTAATATTTATGATCACAGTTAATAAATGTCAGTATTATAGTACTTAAAAGGTACCTTCCTGTGTCTCCTAAAGACTAAATACTCCCATGACTTTTAAAGTGAAATATTAAGATAACTCTGGATTGCCATGCAATTGTAAGATGTAACACAGAATCCTGTAGACCTGGTCCAGTTTCCCCTGATTGTAACATTTGGACAAACTACATCTCACATCCAAAATATATTAATGAAGCCCACTGATCTTACTCAGTTTTCCCTTGTTTTACTTCTCATTTGTACTTTTGTGCTCTATATCATTTCAACATGTGTTGCCACCTGTGTGTCCACTCCAGTTTCCCTAAACAAAAAGATCCCTCGTGCTACTCTTTTACAGCTATGCCTCTGCCTTCCCTCAAGCCATGGGCAACCACTGTTCTACTCTCTATTTCTAAATTCTGTCCTTTCAAAAAAGAAGTGGAATCCTACAGTGTGTGTGACTCGTTAGAGCTAGCTTTTTCACTCCTCACATTCTTCAAGAGTCATCCAAGTTAACCGAGTGTTTCAGCAAGTAGCTCCCTCTACTGCTGAGCAACGTTCCATGCTATGATGTTTACCTGCTGAAGAACCTCTGGACTGAGTCCAGTTTTTGGCTGTTAGAAATAAAGCTGTTATGAACATTCATGTACAGGTTTTTGTATGAACTATTCCTATGACTTTTCAAGTTCATTTTAGTAATTCTGATTTTGAAAACTTTACATGCCATATCTGATGATTAGCCATTAAAACATAAACCATTAGCTCTTTATCATTTTGCACTATAAATAATATAGTACTATACTCACCAATAAAAGCACTATCAGATTCCAACAATGAATTTTTCAAGAAATCATCAGTGTCTTCTCTGGGCTAAAAGAAATATCATATATTAATGGCTATTTGTATTAGTCTGTAGAGGAAAACAAATTTGTACTAAGAGTTAACACAAGTATTTATGCTGTGTCCCTACCCCCAAATTCCAAGAGAATAGGAACACAGGTAGGGCAGCTTCCCTCCTACCACCCAGCGCCCAGAAAGGTCATGCCAGCCCCACCAAGTCAATGAGAACAATGGTTAACACTTGATCTCTCCAGGCCTGAGATTCTCGCAAAAACATTTACTCTCTAACTCGACTCCCTATTGCCCCCTTCTGGTTGAAGGATCACATTACTGTTGATGAAAATGCGACTCCAAATAAAGATTCACTCATCTTTACAATAAATTTTGCAGTGCATTTACTATCTGTTCCATGCCAGGAACTGGGGACACAAAGGTGAATTAAGGGATCCTTCTCTGGGATAAGAAGCTTTTGTCCCACAGGAGGGAAAGGAAAGGAGAGGGGGAGACAGGCCCTCAGTAACTGCCGTAAGCAACAGCAACTGTCGTGATAACATAGCACAGATATGGTGAGACATACAGTAGAAAAAAATAATATAAGTATTATAATGAATTCCCAGATGAGAGATAAATTTACATGTAGAAATTTTACAGTAAAGAATAATCACTACGTGTCAAAAGGAAATCAGGTCATCCAACAAGACCTCCATGCCCTTCTCCACCAGATTTCAGGTCTTCAATTGCTGGAACACTCTAGCAATGAGCTGTTAATCTTTGAAGTAACGAACTCCACTCATGTATATCACTCATTATCAAAAAGTTCTCTTGAACTGTTCGTATACTGAATTTATATCTCCTTGTATTCACCATCCATTGACCACTACTTTCCAGCAAGATAATGATACTAATAGCAGCCGATCAAAAGGTCCAAACCAACTGTTCTCAACATTCCACACAAAGCCCAACTCTTCTGTATCACAGTACTCATCAGCGCCTTATTTTTCCATGACAATCATTCCCAATTTTATCGTGTATGGTGTTTTATATAATCCAGTTTCCAAGAAGATTGTGAGTTACAAAATTTATTTTTTGTTTGTTTTCTCTTGTACTAGAGATTGAACCCAGAACCTCCACACTGAACTACATCCCCAGCTCCCCCCACACTTCACTTTTTTTGAGAGAAAGTCTCTGTAAATTGCAACAGGCTGGCTTTGACCCTGCCTTGGCCTCCTAAATAGCTTGGATTAAAGGTGTGTATTTCTGCACCGGGTTTACTTTTTTAAACAATGATAACAAACCTGGATTACAATGAGCTGCTTTTTGGCAAAATTGGTCATTAATCCAGGATTTTAACCAAAATCTCACATCTTAAATTTCAGAAATTTTGTATGTGACTTCCACATACAAAGAAACCTACCAATCTACAATCTTTCCAAATAGCTGTACAGACATCACAGGCCATGTGGTAGGGGAAAATTAGGAGCTCTGAAACCCAGATTCAAATCTGTGTTCTACTGCCTTTTGGCTGTGTATCTACTGGCAAGCTAATAAGAACTTAAATATCAGTTTAGGAATAAGCATACTTTGAAATTTAGAGCAATAAATGATAGCTATTAGCAACATTATCACTGTTATCATCAGGTCAAACCTGAGCCTAATGCTAGCTGGTAAACCTAAGCAAGTAAAAATGTAGCTGAGCCTTTTATAATCTGAAAATAGGGGTGATACTACCTATATCATAAGAATCCCAGGAAGATTAAATTAGTATTTTCAACTTCCATCTTTTCCCCTGAACTCTGGATACCTGTCTGCTCAACTGCCTAAAACACACTTCAAACTCACCATGTAGAAACTAAATTTCCAACCAATTCTCAGATTGGTTTTTCCTGCTCCTATATCTCTATCAACAGCAACTCCTATCCAAAAACCAAGAAGTTCATTCCCATCAGGGCCTCCACCTGGAATGTTCTTCTCCTCTGTTCCCCCAGTATTTTCCATGACCACCTCCCTGGCGAGAGGGTCCCAAGTGCCTATATCTCAAACTGTTAAGTTCTCCCAAGCCCCAAAACTCCCCAGCCTCCTTTTCCTGCTGCCATTTCCCCCCAGTGGTCTAACATACAGAAGATTCATTTGTTATCTCCCACTTCTAGAATGTAAGCTCCCATAGAGTAGGGATATTTCTCTTTTGCTGACTCCTGTACCCTGGGAACTTGGAACAGTTATGGTCCACAGGTTGTCAAACAGCTCCAAGCTATAACTTTCCACTACTTAAGCAGCAGAGTTCAAAAACAATCTTTTTGGGGTTCATAATTTTGCTCAATAGTTGAACTGGAAATTAAACTTGAAAAAAAATCTCTGTACCGGCTAAGAGTGAATCACATATCACGTCTCACCGAGGACACAAGGGGTTGACCTGCAGTCTAAACACCGCTTTTGCTCAACTACAAATAGTGCTTGTGTTAGTGATTAAAACATTTGTCACTGTGCTTTCCTTGCATTTTATTTGCATAAAATATCACAACCATGGCTCCAAGGAAAGTTAGTGATATCAGCAGTAAAGCTAAGAGGAAAACTATTAAAGATATAATAGCAAAATTTATTAAAGTCCTAGAAGAATGACTTTATAAGTTTTGGGCCCCAGAACCAGTTATTTGGTTTTCCACCTTTTTTTTTTTCAGGTAACCAAATTTATTAAATCCAACAGCAGGGGCCTGGGGATTTAGCTCAGCAGCATAAGCACTTGCCTTGTAAGCAGGCGATCGTGAGTTCGATCCCTGGTACCGATATTAAAAATAAAAAAATTCCAACAGCACGTAATCTTCCAAATTAAAAAAAAAAAGACATCAAAAGAAAAAAAGCAGACATCAAAGCCAAATGTAACAAGTTAATAAAAATATTCAAGGGGCCGTTTGAAGAGTGCAACAGTGCAGCAAATACAAACCAAAGTTTAACTTTTGTCAAGTTTGTACAATCTCCTGAAACAGACACACTGATCACAAACTACAAAGGGATCCACAAAGGTGGAGAGTCACACGAGCAGTGGACTCATCACCTCAGCAGCTTAAGGCAGGATATGTGTAGGACCAATCCATCCAAGCCCCATTTGTCTATTGCTTCAAATTCCCTCTTTAAAACCTAGACTCACATTCATTAGTGCAACAGGTAAGAGCAGCTAACCAGAGAATAAGGGCTGGGAACCAAGGTCAAAGGGAAGACAGTTCTTCCAGGGTAAATTTACGTGTTGATGGGGAAGGGGCAGTAGCTGCCGAATGGCTTCCTTTGGCAATATCCAAGATTTAAAAGTAGCAGAAAGATGGTATATGGTGACAGCAGGTACCTATGAGAGCAGGCTGGCTTTCAAAGTCGAAAGGGAGAATGTAATACCCTGCCACCTGAATTAGAAGCAGAACTTGCTGCTTCCTCAAAGCTATTCCAACCCTCCTGGCTTCTCAAGCAGTACTAAAGCATCAGTTTACTTTTTCTTTTAAAAAGGGGGAAATCTTGCCAATCTTGACAGACATATGGTCCCAGTTCAAGACCAGAAGTGCTGTAATTAAGCCTACAAGGGGAATAACTCTAAAGTGGGCATGGTGGGACTGCCCACTATATGACTCAGAAAAGAGACCAGGAGGAGGAATAGGATCATTGTCATGTTCTCAGGTGAGTCCCAATGAATATTCTAAAAACTTTAACAGTCCTTGCAGCCATTTCAACAAATACTACCAGAGTTCTCCAAGAAAGACCTTGGTCAAATACCACAGACACAAGAAAAGCAGCAAAGCAAATAACTAAAGGAGGAAAACAATACAAGGTAACCACAAACACTAACAGCAGCTTTCTCTCAGTCCTTATTAACTGTCTAGTTCAGTCTACGTTTTGCTGCACTAAAGACCCTATGAAATACAGTAAACCAAACAGTCCCAAAATACAGATTTCGTAAACTTTTCGACGTTTTTACCCCAGTAACTTCCCACCATTATTTAGTACAATTTGGCATTAGCACACAGTGAGTGTATGAGGCTATCAAGGGAACTATGGGAGTTCCAACACCCTATAGCCCCCAGACCTGAGGACTACATTTTGGTGCCAGTCCTGGGCCATCAATACTATTTCAGACTAATACTGTGTGCCTTAATCTTCTCTTCCTCCACAAGGTGGCTGGTTTGCACTCATCTTTGAGAAGTTAAACATGTTCCTGCCAGCTTGAACCACTGGTGGTACATGTGAGACAGTCTAATTAGTTGTACCAGCCACCCAATGGGACAGTCATGCACGTACGGCCCTGTCATAAACATGTTAATATTGAAAACACTGCTTCATATATTTCAATTGTATTTCTCTGGACCTGTAAGTTTGGTTGAAATTTGAATCTTTAGCCAGCTGTATCTAGGGGTTTTCTTCCCTTATCAGAAAATACACAAGTGGGCACATTTGGCAAGATGAGGGCGGAGCTACAGAAGCAACCATTACAGCATAACCAAGTGTTATTGCAAGAGATAAGGTTAAGAATGATACATTCAAACTTGGCAAAGATGGGCAGTGATTCAATGAAGCAATACTTTATCTCATACCAGCTTGCTAATTAACTGCTTTAAAAAAATTCACACCTCACAAAACCATTTGTTACAACTAAATAATCTCGCAACACATACTCACTTAGCTTGTTTGAGGCACTCTCTGATGCTGCAGGTGTTCACATCCTGCCCCTCTCCACATATAACCCAGGTGACAAAATGCCGATGTGAGAGGTGGGCTGGCTTACCAGAGGGGCAAGAATTTGGCCTTCTCCACAGAATTTCTGCTTGTTCACCTTTTAAGCAGTAAATCCAATTCAAGGTTGAGAGGAACAGGAGAATTTCACTTCCCAGAAGTATAAATACAAACCCTACACACATCTCACCTTGGATCTCTTTGCAGAAAAACTGCATTTCTGTTGCTATGAAAGAGTCAAGCACTAACCCCGAGTTACTGCAGCTTGAGATCCCTGCTTAGCATCAGGCCCTCAAACCTGGAAGTTAAGTTTCCATCTCACTGCTTTTTCTGGCTTCTCAACAAATGGATCATTTTTTAAAAAATAACCAAAAATAATTTCTGAATGGCTCTTTTAAGAGTGGGAAAGCTGAGCAGTTAAAAAAATCCAGTAAAAAAAAATGCACTCACTCTAATAAATTTGATGCATGGAGTACGAACTTATAGATTGGAAAAAGAATTTATTTCAAATTTTTGAGGTCCTCAGTGGCCTCTTTTTGTGTGCTTTTCCTTCATTCAACCTTTACTCATTCCAGAATTGGGAAAACCTTTGAGTTAAAAATTGGATGGATGACAGGTGGTGTCTTTAAGAACTCTGTGTGGGGACCCACCCACAGATGAACCCTTAGAACTTCCTGGGGCCCTGGAGATTCTTAGGCAAGGACCTTGGGTCTTATTCAGAAAAAAGGAAGACTTAACTGTGGCCGATTTTAAAGTTACTCAACTGCCCAGCTAGAAGGAACAACTGACAGGTGTAAAATCAACAACAAAAATCAAATTCCAGATATGTTCCCCATGTCAATATGAGTTTTAGAAAAACTATGACAATATCCTTAAATAATCATTTTTATAAAGATGGGAGCTCAGAACTGTAAGGTTCTGTTAGAGGAACTCAACATGCAAGAGAATAGTTACAAATTTTTATTTAAAAGATTCCCTTTTTAATCTGTCCCAAAGTATTAGAAGCTGAACTGTACAAGCTCTTGCCACCCACCCCCTCCAGTATAGTTTTTTGATGATATATATTTATATATCTTAAAACAGAAAAGTTACAAGTGGACTGGCTATGGCACCAGATAGGATGAGAATGAGCACCAGGCCAAAGCTGGCCTGGCAGAGTGAGTGCGTGGAGGAGTCTGAGGAACTGGGCCCCTTTCCTGTGAGGAAAGGGCTGGGCAAATTCATATTCTTTCATAGTGAAAATGGTTCAAATTCAGATACAAAAGCCTCCATTATGATGTTCCCTGGAACTCTTCTTATACTTTATATATTGAAGACAGCTCTTTCTTTTATGGCCAGTTTTAGCAGGCAAAGAATCAAAGGAATATAGATACATATATGTGTACACATATATATTTTATGTAGGTAAAATATATACACATTTTATATATGTATATATACATATCTGGGGGAGGGAAAGGACAAGGAGGGTCAGGTAAACCTGAACAGTCATCACATTACCCCTAAGGAGCCTGATGCTAACAAGGAGATAATAAATAACTCTCAGGGGGTAAGTGACAAGATGGGTGCAGCAAGAAGGGAAAGGCACACATTTAACTATTAGATACACTTTGATATTTGTGCGGCGAGTCCAGGATTCCGCATTTGCCAGACAAGTAAACTGATGATACTCAAAGAAAAAGAAATGTAAAAAAAAAATTCAAGCAGAGCTCCATACCACAGTTTTCTTTCAAGTCGACTGGTCGGCTAGGAGTGTTTTCAGACCACCAGAAACAGAAACTTTGGCTCCAAGACAAATGAAAACAGAAAGTGTTTCCACTTAAAAACATGATAATACAGAAACTTCATCAAATAAAGAAAAATATCAAAGAAGTCTACTTCCAGAAAACTGAGGTAGCACTGCTTTTTCTGCATTCAATGTTAAGTGGTTCTCAGTACAATGTATTCTAAAAAAATAAAACTGCTCACTTGACTGACGGGTACAGCATGTTGAGCGATAAACTCAACATGAAATGCAATAGGTCAAAGCAGGAAAGAGCAAGAAGTGACAGAAATAAGGGTTTCTGATAAATTAGCTTAAAGGGGGTTGTCACCAGACAGTAAATGCTCTTGACTAGCCTTGGCTCTCCAAGAGCTCCAAATCACCTGGGAATTAATGCAGTGCGGTTAACAGTTAACACTGCTATTCAAATCTGTGTAAGTCTTTAAAAATAATTACAATAACCTAAACTAAACCATGTAAACAGCACTACACACAGTACAGACCTGCCCTGAAAAACAATATGCAAACTGAGATCTGGCACTGTATCATTTGGTAATGTTAAGTCAATCTAACAGTTCCATTCTCCCCACCCGGCTTTACATCCTCCCCCACCAAAAAGCAAAGCAAAGCAAGAAAGATCTGTTTTGTACAAAAAATGGTAGGCTTATTCTAGCTGAAGGCTCCAAAAAAAAAAAAAAAAAAAGACAGAGAGAGAGAGAAAAGCACAACATGTAGTCAGGTTCAAATATTTTAAGGGATACTTCCCAAATGAAATAACCAAAATATGATGAAAGTGCCTAAAACATGATAGCGCATTTTAGAGCCCTTTCAGATACAAGGCAGATATAAGGCAGAGAAAGGTGTGAAGCAGAAAATATCCGAATCTTCAGTAATTTCCTCAAAGGTCCAACTCCTTGCTTGGCTGCAGGGCAGCGGGCAGATCCCTGCTGCTGCTCCTGGGACAAAGCCACTCAGTGTGCTCCTCAGGACACAAGCCCTTGGGCCGGAGCTGAGCGCACCTCTCCCTTCCCCTTCTTTTTTCCTTCGTTCCATTTCTCACTCCACAAAGGAATCGAAAAGACTTGGCCAGGCCTCATCTTCACTGTAGTTGCTGAGGTCAGGACCAATCCCCTGAGTGAAATTAAGGAACATGTTCCAAGTGTCCCAGGAAATGCCCTTGATCCCCGAGGGGTTCTCTGTTAAGAAGTTTAGCCCCTGGTCCAACATGGGAAGACTGTTCTGGGTAAAGCTAGTTTCCACAAGGCAATGGCTATTTCTCGATGCAATGACTGTTGCCCTTATTCAGAGTCTAGGCCAAACTGAAACGTAAACCAGTAGAGATCCTTGAATTTATCCTCTTGTTTGGCTTCAGTCAGTGCTATCTGTTACTTATTGCATTGCAGCCATCAAAAACTCCTTCCTGGTGAATTTGCACATGGTAGCAGCCTGGAACTTCCAAGCCAACAGCAGCACTTGAAATTCTGTGGGATCGACACATAAGTCATTGCAAAAGCACTCCATGCCTTCCTCCAAAATTGCATCCTCCCACTTGTCCTTATAGTGCCTGAACAGTTCCTCCAACCTCTGCAAGGAGGACTCCTCAGCATTCGACCTGGATTCCCTCCCAGTGTCTCCTGAAGAGGTTGGCAGCTGGCAGGCTTCAGTGGTAGCCGCAGCTTTCTTGGTCTCATTGACAAGAGTATCTCCACCTGGCTTGCCACAGGGTGGCACCTGTTCTTCCCAGTGGCCTGCCCCTCACCTACTGTGTGACTAGCTACTAGAATCTGGGTCTCCATTCTTGCTGCCCAGGGTCAATGAGGGATTCTTGCAGTTGGTTACGCACTGGCCCATGGTGGTGGTGGCCTGGCTTTCAGAGCAGGCCCCTCTGGATGGATGCCCTCGCTGCCACCGGCCCGTATACCTCAACACGCCATCAGCCAGAGGAGCCAGCCAACAGCTGCTCCAGAGGTTTCTTCAGTGAAATTCTTTCTGGAAACAATAGCGGCCTGGTGGATCCAAACCACCTACCATCCCCACTCTCGTTTCCAGGCTCCCTAACCCCACCACCACCTCCTCTTCTCGAACCGCTGTCTTCCATCATTTCTTATGGGAAAAATATGTTCAGTTCTCAAAGTTTTCAGCGTTTGAATACAAATTTGGAACAAACTGAATCTGACAACCAAGGCACAGTACCACTGCATAACTAAGTATTTATTAAATGAAAATCATTCATCCTTAGCCTGACATGGTGATGCATGCCCATTAATCTTAGTACTCTGGTAGGCTAAGGCAGGACAATCACAGTTTGAGCTAAGCCTAGGCAATTTAGCAGAGCCTGTCTCAAAACAAACATTTAAAAAAGGGCTAGTGATATAGCTCAGGACAAAGGCCCTGGGTACAATCTCCAGGACCCACCCCACCAAAATAGAAAGGCTCATTTCCAGCCCTTCCCTTTATTCAGTCTTGCACAAATGTGACCTCCTCAACATAGGAGTAAGTACACTGTTCATCCTTTTACCTTGCTTATTTTCTTTATAATTCTTACCACTGCTTACATTATAGACTCTTTCCACGCTACTGCTAATACTACCGACAGCACACACTTAACTCTGGATTCCATATGAGGCAGGCTGTACCCTTAAGAACATACATATATTGGTATATATCCTTCCAATGATATTTGTGTTACATTTTTTATTTAGTGGATATACAGAACTTATTATATATCAAACCTATCTCTAAATACCTTACAACTATTAATTTAATACTTAAGCCACCCACAGAGGTATGTACTATTATATTCATTTTTACAGATTAGGAAACAGGCACAGAGAGATTAAATAATCTGCCAAGAACCATACAGCTAAGAGACTAACTCAAACAGCATAACATCACAATCCTATTCTTAGCAATTATGTTTTCTCTACATATTATACTAACAATTCTCTACCCATTGCACTGATGAGAGAAAATTCAAATTCTTTCTTAATTCAATATTCCTGAAAAATTCAAAATTTGAAATATTTATATATTTTTTAAAAAGTATTTTCCTCCAAAATCTAAGTTGAAAAATTACAATTGGTTGCTTACCGTTCTGTGCTCTCGTACTTTAGCACTTAGGATGGCATCTAAATCAGCTGTACTCAATGAAGAACAAAAGCAAGGTTAAAAGTTTAGGAAAAAAAATAAAAATAAATTTCAGAATTTGTGCAGAAAGATATTAAATAGGCAATTACAGTAAATTAAATTCTAGGTACTTGTCACAAGAGAAAAAGAGTCTTGAATCAGGGATTCCAAACCCTCTCAAATCTGATCAGCCTTCCAGTGTGTTCCTCCAAAGGGTGCCTTTTATCCTCTTAGACACTGCCTCTAGGAATAAAGAGGCTGGCAATGGTAGCTTGTGTTACTTCTCAAAATATTTTACATAACAAAATATCTTCATGACTATTGATAGCTAGACCACATTCTCATGAATTGCATCACCATCATGTCTGCTAAGAACTGGGGATGATCACTATGGGGAATGAATAATCTCAGTACCCAAATGTACTATGTTCACCTACTTTTGGCCTACTGGAACTACTTGGAACTACTTTTGGCCTAATCAACATAAGTCGGCATGATCCCGCAAGATCAGATCATCACTGGAGACTGCTAAACAAAAACATCTCTACACCAAGTATAAAGACTTACTGTGCTCGCACCTCTCCTTCCCGGGTGAGGTGCCACCTAGCATAGCATCTACTCACTCTGCTGTCACTGGGTGATACATAGGTTGTTACAAAAACTGTACCAGATAGTGGGACAATATCCCATACAAATGTTTATCAAATCTCGACTGTGATCTCAGTCTAAAGTTTCATGTCATTCAACCTATTTTGCAGTAGTATAAGGTAAAAAAGCTACCTCAGATTCTGCAAGCCAGACCAGCTTGCCACAACAGAGGTAAATTTTCCTAAAAACAATGGGCCAGACTATTCCTCTTATTTCTGTCTGACTGTAGTGTTTTGATTTTTTTTAACTCGTTGTCCTTGGCTACCTTCAATGACTTAAAGGTCAGCAAAGACAGTGACATACAGCTGTGGGGGCCATGATACACTAGGTATAAATAGGGCACATCGATGCTCTCTTAGACAACTAGCTCTACTCTGCTTCTAGGTGCTCAATCTGACTTTTTCCTCAGGGTGCTCAACACACTTATACTTATTTAGAATCTAACTTCTCCAAAAATTATAAATTCCTGAGAGGAGCAGCCTATTCCACTCATCACCATATCTTCTATTTATACATTAGGATCTGTGCTCCTAGCAGGTAGCTGTATCTGCTGACTAAATGACAACACAAAAACATACAGTTCATTCTGATGGTTTACAGGTTTACAGTTCATTTCTGAGGATTTATGCAACAGCAAAACTTTAATACATCTCCTACACACAGAAGAAAAATGCCTCTATGGGGCACTAATGTGTTTTTTTTTTTCAATATTCTTTCTGTTGGTTTCTAGTTCCTGGTGCAGAGGTCTCATGGGCTGATCAGAGCATGCAATTCTGTTGACTACAGTGAATGCCTCAGCCCCTCTCAAGCATGGAGCTCCCCCAGACAATCAGGGTGTCCTCTGGGACTTGTTCTCTGTGAAACAGAGCTGCCAGTGCAAGAGACAAAGCAACTCAAAGGAAAGAACCACTCACTTTGAAATAGTAATGACTGTTCCTTACCCTCAGCACTTTCCTGCATTTTCAATCTGTTCAGCCTCTTCTGCTGCTCTCTTAGTAGGGCTTGCTGCTGAATCTCTAAAGTGTGATGATCTCTTGGAGGATCTGGGTACATCAATTTCAAATCAACTCTTGTTTCTGAATCTGGGGCACAAAATACAAAATTTAATCTTGTATTCAAGGGAGATTTTTAGACACAAAAACCTCCACAGAGATGTTTATGGCAGCTTCATTCCTAATTGTCAAACTATGGAAGGACCCAAGACACACTTCAAGAGGTAAATGGCATATCATTAAACAATGGAATATTATTCAGCACTAAAACAAAATGAGCTCTCACACCATAGAAATACAGAAAACTTGAAAGTTTTCAAGTTGAAGACTTAAGTGCAAGAAGGCAATCTGAGAAGGACACACACAATATGATCCAACCTATACAACATTCTGAAAATGGCAAAACTATATAGAGACAGTAAAGCAATAAACCCTAGGGATTAAAAAGAAGGCAAGGTTGAACCAGGCAGACTATGCTGTAATGTTGTCATATTACAATATTACAATGATGGACATAGAATACCTGTACGTTTTCCAAGCTGACAGAACATATATCAAGAATGAACTTTACTACAAATTTAGAACACACAATGGTATGTCTATATAAGTACATCAAGTACAATCGAATGTGCAGGCTGCCCACGACAGAGGAGGCTGTGCAAGGCAGGGAGGACGTGGGAACTCTGTACTTCATCTTCAGTGTTGCTGTGCACCTAAAACTCCTTTAAACAAATCAAGCTTTTTTTTAAATAAAATTTTATAAAACTTTACTATAGTTAACAAATACTTACTTACTATAGTTAACAAAGTCAAAGGGCATTAGAGTAGCTATAAAGAACATGAAATTCATATTCTTTAACAAATGCCTTTTTACTAACATAATGACGTTATAAGGAAGCTCCCAGCACAAGCAGAGCTTCTGATAAGGCATTCTACATACCTACTTCCCCACTTCCCAGGATGCCACCCAGAACACCAGCAGGGAAACTACATGAAGGTATACATATCCAAGTGGTTAGCCACATGGCTATGACTCAGCAAGCCATGAGATTATGCAATCACAGCAGGTCTCTAACATGTATAGTGAAAAAATTGCTAGGCAACACAAAGCATATCTATAATCCCAGTTGGCAGGAAACTGAGGCAGGAAGATCACCAGTGAATTTCAGGCTAATCTGGGCTACAAAGTGATTTCAAGGCCAGCCTGAACTATATAGCAAGATCTGTCTCAAAAACAGACAAAAAATAATTAAATGTGCTGGAAAAGCCAAGAATTTAGCTCAGCGGTGTAAGCGCCTGCCTTGCAAGGTCGAGGTTGTGAGTTTGATTCCCAGTACAAAAAAAAAAGTGCTGAACAAATGAAAATAATGTTACTAGCCAATTCTGTCCCTTGCAAATAAATATCATCCAAAATGCCAAGTAAATGCAAACTGAATAGAACATTAAAAGGGGTGTCCTTATTAGAGGAAATGAGAGTCTGAGAACTCACCTCTGCTAAAATCGTATGAATTATCAGTTGATAAGAATTAAAATGTTGGGGCTGGGGATTTAGCTCAGCAGCATAAATGCCTGCCTTGCAAGTGTGTGGTCATGAGTTCAATCCCCGGTACCGATAAAAAAGAAAAAGACAAAAAAAAAAAAAAAAAAAAGAATTAAAATGTTAAGTATGAATTTTTGAATCTTAAAAATAAAAATATAGTTGACATAGAAAAAAGTCTTGAAAACATTATTTCCTTTGTCCCACTAATTAGAATGGTGGGATATAATAAGAAACAATACTCTATATGTAAAAAGTCTTATGATCAGACATTATCAGAAGAATAGAGTGAAAATGGTTAGTGTATGTGTGCAAATCCCAACAACTTGAAAGGCTGAGGCAGGAGGATCACAAGCACAAGGCCAATATGAACATTTAGCAAGAATCTATCTCTAAATAAAATTTAAAAGGGCTGGAAATGTACCTCATTGGTAGAGCACTTGCCTAGCATATGCAATGCCCTGGGTTCAATTCCACATACCACATCAGAAAAAAAAAAATGAAATAGGAAGCATCTTGAATATTCAGAATTAAAAAATGGTTAAGAGCAAAGTGAACAGAGGAGGTTCTGGTCACTCAGATGATTCACCACTTCCAGACTCAGCCTTATGGGGTGAGGGGGCAGACACCAACAGCCCAGTGACAGGCTGAACAAAGAGCAGATGTAGTTAGTGAAACATACATGAATGGCTCAGCTCTGTGTCTACCTTCTGTGGCCTCAAGTTCTCTTTACACTATTAAAAAAAAATCAAAGACCTCTAGGGAAAACTTGTTTTTAAATTTATAAAATAAAAAAGAAAACTTGAAAGTGTATGACGTACATATTACACACATGTATATGCCACATTTAAAATTACATTTTTACAACATAATACCAAGGTACATATTTTATTAACTTCAGAGAGAGAAAGTCATCATTTGCCATGTGGCCTCTGGAAAACCTGTGTATACATGAGAACAGAATGAAAAAGTAATAATGGTTTAGTTTAAAACAAAAACTCTAGACAAAACTCTGACACTCACTGGCTTAACACCATGACGAGCAGAGTTATCAATAAAATGCATAAAAATAATTATAACATATATAACTAATGATATATGTAAGTCTAAGCAAAAAGTGAGAGAAAATTTTAAAATAGCAATCATACCATTGTTTGGTTTTACTTTTGTGTAAATTATACTCAAAAAGGTGATAAAACTTCCAAAAATTTAATGTGTTTGTATATAGGAATATAAAATGATTTCTTCCTATTTCTTTTGATATTTAAAACTTTGCTCTAATCAGACAGATATTACTTTCAAAAATAAAAAAGTTTAAATTCTAGATTTTCCTGGCATTGTAAGATGAACACATATTCAAAAGTTGCTTTTTCAGGGCCAGGGATCTAGCTCATCGGCCCAGCATCTGCCTGGCAAGCACAAGGTCCTGAGTTCAATTCCCAGTACCAAAAAAATATATATTTTTTGCCTTCTCTGCTCCAACACTTGCTCTGTCAAATATTCCTAAAAAAAAAAAAAAAAAAAAGATTCCTCTCTCATTTTTGTTCTCCTACAGTTCCTATATCTGACAACCCTGCTTAAATACTGTATTTTTCTTCTTCTCTCACTAAGAGACCCTTCTCTCTCATATCCTCTGCATTCTTTCCCACCCACCAAGGCCATCCCTCTTCCATGATCAGGCCTGTCTCCAAAGCCTCTTTCTCCTCTTGCGTATTTTCACACTACATCCCACCCAAGGTCTTGCACCTCCGGGAGCCTCCATTTCCCTCCCCACACACAGTTTCCCAGGGTAAACTTAGGCCGATTGATGACCTCTCAGTCAACCCTCATTCTAAAGTTAACTGGCTTCTGATTCCATCACTTTATGCCTCTGATCCAACTGAGACCCTGTGATACTCTCACACAGCCCTTTCTCCTCGATACTTTCACTTTTCCACAGCCTTCAGCACCCAACATTCCCCTGCTTCTCTGCCAATCACTGTAACTCCTCCTCCTCAGTCTTCCTCCCAAGCTCTCTTCTACTGTCCAAACCCCATTACATACCACGTCCATTTCTTTACACTAAGCTAATCACCCACACTGAGGCATCCAGATATCTCCAAAACAAAGTCTGCCAAACTGAAGCCAAACTGAAGCTTCCTCTACCAGACTGGTAAACTGAGTATCTAAAGTGTACGCAAGTTTTATTTATAACTTAAAATATATTAAAAGTGAAATTTTACTTTTAAGATATGGTACAGATGTACCTAGTTCACAAACTTAATTCACTGCACAATTCTGGAGAAGGCGGCCATGTTCATGTCCATGTGGGAGACAGATGGACCACCGTCACAAACAAAAACAAAATTTTGCCACACACTCTATTTGTGAACCAAATTGTTCCCAAACAAAAGCATTCGTGAACTGAGGCACCACTGTATGGACATTTTCAGAGCTCCCTGAACACTCTTGCTGTTCCTCTGAAGCAGCAGCACATACTTACCCCTATCTTTCAGCACATTAAAGTCATGGATATTCTGAAAAGTGGCAGCATCTAAGCCTTTAGGTGACTGTCTCCGGACGGGAGCTTGCACTCGATGCCTGGCCATGTCAAATATATCCACAGGATTCCTTTCTCTTTTCCTACACATAAACAATAAATCAGGAAAGAAACTCAACTCTACATTTAACTCACTATAAAAAAAATCTGGCATCTTTCACCACGATATATTTTTAAGTACATTATTCCACCTGTTAGTTCAATCTCTTAAAGAGTAGGTATAATCATTACAATTTTGCAAAATGTTTAGATGTAAGGTACCTTATTGGAAGAGTGTAACAAATCAGCTTTACTATAGTATGTTCACATAGTTGAAAGACCAGTTTGGGAGGGTGACTGTTTTTTGCAGCACTGGGGATTAAACCAAGGGCCTTCACACTGAGCTAGAGCCCTAGCTCTTTCATTTATTTTATTTTCTTTCTTTTAAATCTGAGGAAGTTATTCAAGGTGGGCTTGAACTTGAAGATCACAGTACTTGAGGGCAGAAAAATAGAGATTCAAATATTAGCTCTGCTACTAATTAGTTTGATCTTGATTTCACTATCCATAAGATGTAAAGTCCACCCATTATCGTCATGTTGAGAGCAAAGGACGGAAAATCACACAACATACTTGTCCTAGTAAACAGTATGAACTAAACGATCAGTAAATGTTACCTTTTTATTCCTCAAAGAACTAAAATTAGAAATTCTGTATGTCTCAGCTACTCCGTTCTAGGTATCCTTCCCAAAAAGCCTAAGACATCATACTACAGTAACACATACAAACCAATGTTTATAGCAGCATAATTCACAATAGCTAAATCCTGGAAGCAGCCTGAATATCCTTCAACAGACAACTGGGTAAAGATAATGTGGTATGATGGAATACTACTCAGCTATAAGAAATGATAAATGTGAGACATTTGAAGGAAAATGGACACACCTGGAAAATACAATGTTGAGTGAAGTAAAACAGACACATAGGCTTAAACATCGCACAGTAGCTCTCATTTGAGTAAGGCAAAGAACAAACAGGAGCACAATGAAGGATGAATAGGAGACAAAGGGATACATCTCTTGCAAGCATGAAAGGGTCTACAAGAATGTGGGCAAGGGAAATAAGCAGATAAAGATATGCAATGCACAGGACCCTAACAATCTCAATTAATGTAGATGCAGTATGCCATGAACATGGGTAAGATTAACAGCATCAACAAGAATAAAAACGGGGAAAGGGGATTTAGAAGAGGGAGGTAGGAGACAAAGGGAATTTTTAAAAAAGAACCAAGTTGCATTATGTACCCACTCCCTAAAATGATTGTAAACTACATGTACTGCAAACATGAACTAATAAAACAAAATGTTACTTTCCTCTCAGCCCAAGTACAAACTGTACACAAAACAATGGAATTAACATTCTACTCAATACAGAGGATACTGTGTGATTTTATAAAATCTTCCAGGGAACTTGATCCCTGCCAATTCACCTATACACTCCTTTGGTACCCAGGAAATTAGTATGCTGGGCAGGCAGCTCAGGAAGGAATATGAAGTGAGGATAAAAATGGGAAATGGCAATCTAGTCCTGAAAGTAAAATTCAATATAAAAAGTTCTACAGCTGCTTCCCTCAGAATTAAGTAGGGGCTCTTCTTTTTGAAAACGTAGCTCTAAGCTACAATTCTATGATCATAAGATCCTGCCCTTTATTTTTTCTTATCTTTTTGAGACAGAGTTTTGCTATGCAGTTCAGGTTGGCCTTGAACTCACAGCAATCCTTCTGTCTCAGCCTCCCAAGTACTGGAATTACAGGCATGAGCCATCACGCCTGGCTGCCCTTACCACTTCTTTATCTCTCTCTAAATTTCTAGGGAGAAATAGCTGTGGCCCTACTCTCATGGAGTTTCCTTTCTAGTAGAAAGCAAACACACTAAGACCATGAAACAACCTGCCAAGCTGACATGGAGCTGTACTACACCAAGGATGTTAGGAACTCTATGGAAATTCATCACAACAAACATGTAAAAAAGACTCTGAAGAGACACTTAAATTGTACTCCTCATTTCCATAACACTAATAGTTAAATAGGCTGTTAAGCTACAAACTAGGTCATTAGATTTATTTGCATGTAAACTACATCATATTTATTTTATGCCTAGCACAAAACAGGAGAGCATAACTGTGGGGAATTAATTAATAAGTAAGAGACTCTTTTTGTGAAGATATTTATGAAAGTAAAGAATCAACTCTGAATCAGGTTGAGTGATAAAACACCTATAATCCCAGCTACTCAAGAGGCTGAACAAGGATCACACGTTAAAACCCAAAATGGGCAACTGAGATCCTGTCTCAAAAACATAAAATTAAAAAAAAAAGGGGGGGGGAGGGAGGATTGGGGGAGTAACTCAGTGGTGGAGCCCTTGCCTAGCACAAAGGAAACTTAGGGCCATTTCAAAATTATGACAAATGCTCTTTGGTAACTTACGATGTTAACAGTAGGAAAAAACCCAAGGATTCACAGAAACTCTATACCATGCTTACAACTTTTCCATAACCTACAATCCCAAAATAGAGAGTTTATTTTTAAAAAAAAGAAAAGAAAGGGTGATAATTAGCCACAATGCTGATTTTATGACCCTAAAAGTTTAAATATTGAGTCCTTTTAAAAACAATGATCAAAGATGTTTGGCAGCCAATGTTTGCTAGAAAATAATTATTCCAGAAAGTAATTATTGAAGAAAATTTAAAAGTTCTAAAATGAAACTGTGATTATTCCATTCCTGAAATTTTCTACTCATATTATTATCAAATTTCTACACCTAATTGTAGAAGACTAAGAAAAATAAGGAAATTGTAAAATGAATGCATCATGTTACCAAAGTACAGAATTAGTAGGCAGGTGACACAAGAACTTTTTAACTCAAGAAAAAACAAAAATTACCGGGCATGGTGGAGCATACATACCTATAATCCCAGCACTTGGGAGGCCAAGGCAGAAGGTCAAGGTCAGCCTGGACTACATAGTGCAATCAAGGCTAGTCTGAACTATATAGACAGGACAGAGAGACAGAGACAGACAGATAGACACAGAGAGGGAAAGAGACAGAGCAAGAGACAAAGTAAGACACAGAGGCAGGCAGAGACAGAAACAAAAATTGCAATTTTAAACTTACCTTATAAAACTTTCATCATCACTGTCCATGTGGAGTAACCGCCCTTGTAAACGCCTTTCTTCACTGCGAAGCTGTTTTCTCATTTCTGATAACTCCATAATCACATTTTTTTTCTCCTCTAAAATTTCCCATTGAAAATTAAAAGACAGGTATAAGAACAAAAGATTAAACACTAAAACCTAACCTAACAAAACAATTATAAAATTCTCAGAGAGGAATTTTTAGGAAATATTTTTAATGTTTTATAAATACACAAATAGTATTATAAAAAGTAATAAAAACTGTAGGAGTAATAAGATCCGAAATGTGTAATAGCTATTGTAAAAAAGAAAGGGAAGGAAAGTGCTCTAAAGGATATAACTGCATGTGTGCTTAAGTGTGTAAGACAGATGACCATACTACTAAGTTTTTGCTGGATCCTCAAACAGAAAGGTTTGCACTCTCATTGTTTGATTGTCCACTTTCTATGTTTTAATTTTATGACCTAAACAACTATTTCTAAGATGACAGTATGTAATGTATTAACTAATGATTTCCTAGTGTTAATTTTTTTTGAAATTCTGTATTATTTCTACCTTTTCTGTTTTGCTTTTTTTTTCCTTAAATAAATAAAATACACAAATATACACAGATCATATTTGTGAATATCAGTAAGACCCCAAAAACACATTTCTGACAGTACAGGAATTTCAAAAGCTAAAAGCTATTTTGGGGAATGAAAGTGTAGCCACAAGGGGCTCTTTGAGGGAAAAGGCTTGCTCTGAAATCTGGCTGTGGTGAAATACATGATTAAAAACGTCTAAAACCACACGCACACAAATACACGTAAAACCTAATGAAAGCTGATAGAGGTCAGTTTGCAGAGTACACCGAGGTTAACTTCCTGGCTGTAATACTGTATTTTGTAAGACCTTTTGACAGGAAGAGCTTAGAGGAGCGGTCCTTGGTACCTCTACTATTTTTGCAACTTTCTGCAACTTTGTAATTATTTCAAAACAAAAAAATGTAAGAAAGAAATATTCTAGATTACAAATTTAATAGTTAATTTTACCTTCTGCCCGGAGCTGATTTTTCCTTGCAGGTACTGGAGGAGACTGTGCCCTGGACATTGAACTTTCCTGTTTAACAATAGGAAAGATGTGCTTAATGTATCAAAAGATGTATTAGAAAACTACTCAGAATCCTGAAAGAGTTAGGAAACTAAACACATACATCCTCCCTGAAAACATGCCCACATCTCTACCTACTTTTCCTCTCAGCAGAATGGAAGAGCCCTTTCCCCTCTCCAAAGAGAAATGACTCTCATCTTCTCAAGTCCCCCTCTTTCTCTTCCTCTTACAAGCATCCTCTTCAACCTATGCATAAAACCTACTTTTAAAAAGTCTTACCTCACCTTTCTTCACTCACTATCTAGTGTCTACTCTCTCCTTCCCTTGACAGCCAAGCTTCTTTAAGACTAATAAATGTATACTTCTGGGGTCTATTTCCTTATTCCCATTCACTCAACACAGAGCTACTGCCTTTTTTTCTACAACAATGCCTTCACCAAAGTCACGAAGTGATCCCCAAGTAATACACTCAGCAAACCTTTAGAGAGGAGTACTAGGTATGGAACTCAGGCCTCTCACTTAGTTTACAGTAGGGTTCACACCCCTATGAGAATCTAATGCCACTACTGACTTGACAGAAGATAGAGCTCAGGCAGTGCTATGAGCAGGCAGAAGCTGTGTACACACAGATGGAGAAGGGCCTGGGCCAGCCTCTGCCTTAGCACACAGGCATCGGTGGGCAGACCAAACCCCAGCACTTTCTTCCACATGACCAGCGGATCCTACACACACTGAAAGTCCTTTGCCCTCCCCTGTATAGCAAATCCCTGATTCTTCAAGCATCACCTCATGGACTAAAGCTTCTAGAACATTTTCCCATCTCTCTTTTGAATGTAACTCAGTCTAAAATATAAGAAACTTCATAAGTATAACTATAGCTAGCTAGAAGACAATTTTCAAAGAAAGGGCTCTTCTTTAAGAGCATGAAACAAGTACTATTTGTTAAATTAGTTTTTCAAAAAATTAAATTTTAAGGCACCGAGTACGACCACTTACAATTCTTGTAAGAACAGATTAATGTAGACATTACTGTATTTCAGATCTAAAATCATTTAACCTATCCACATTTAAGATGAATATAAAAATTTCATTTAGTGCCCCTTAGTTCAAAATAACTAAATCAAGAGTAACAAGACAAAAACAGAAAGTATATACATGAATGAAGGAACTTATGATGCTGTCAACTGAAGGAGGTCTTTGGAGTTGGCTTGTAATTTTGTTCTGAAGAGCAGGAACCACAGGAGAAGGCTGTCTCAAGTGCTGAAAAAAATACATACATATACACAAATATATACTACATACACACAAATAGGAATTTACATAATATAAACTATATATACTATAGCTATACACAAGACTAAGAAGTTCACGTTGTTAGTTTCTAATAAAATACATTTGATAAGGGTCAGAAATTAAACTACATAAGATCAAATATAATGATTATGATAAACAGATTTAGATATCCTAATTAAAAATATATAACTTTCAGATTCTGATAAAAAAATCAAGTAAAGCAGAATTATTTCAAATATAGAAAAGACAGCAAAAGTGAAAAAAATCATCTTAACAATAAAAGGGGAATAGAACAATACAAAAGCAAAATCCCTTTTCTGGAAACCATATAAATCAACCTCTAAAATCTAGATTTACTGGCACCAAGAGAATCATAGATAAGGAAATTTTCTAGATTACAGTAGGTTCAATGTCTCTTTTAAATAATCTTTCAATAAATTTTAGCTGTGAATACTTATTTGTATTACCATAAACCCTGGGATGAGAAATCAAACAGCACAGTTGAGTCTATCAGAAACAACTCATAGCAAAATAAAAAACAGATGACAGGGAACAGGAAGATGGGCTGTGTGGAGACAGGAAGGTGATGGGGGGAAGAGTACAAAGGACTGAAATGTGTTATGTGCACCTACCAATTCTCCGTAATGAATGTAGTATTATGTATTGAACACAAATAATAATAAAAAAGGGAAGAAATTAATAAAAACACAGAAAAAAAAAGAAAATGACTCATGTTGCTGGTCACTATGGTGTACAGCCCTAATCCTGTAACACTGGGAGGCTGAGACAAAACGATCTCAATTCCAGCCCACCACGGGGAACTGGGCAACTTAGTGAGATCCTAAGAGATTCTGGAGTATGAAAGCCTGGGTTGACTCTCCAGTACCACTAAAAAAAGTAAGGACAATTAGGAGGGGGAGAAGAAGAAAAGGAGGAAAACGAAGAAAAGGAGGAAACAGAGAAAGGAAAAAAGGAAAAGAAAGAAATGGCTCATGTTATATGAGGCAGGTGACATACTAAACAGTATACCAAACCACATTCTAAATACACCAGACTAACCCACTGGTTAAAAATGAATCTTTTCATATATCTGCTTTGAAGGAAAAAATATAAATTCCTGTGAACCATTTTCTTATGTCAAATTGGGCTACACTTTCAAGACAGACAGGAACATTCAAAGTATAGTCTCCAGGCTAACTAATCAGAGCATCTAAGGACAGCTATAAAACACAGATTTCTGTACATCCATCCCTCAGACTCCCTACAGATGGGAACTCAGGAATATTCATTTTTATAACAAGCCCCCAATAATTTTTAAATGTAACAAATGTAGCAAACTTTTAAATGTAACAAAATGTAAACAGGAGTGAGAATTGGATCCTGATGAGAGTCAATTAGCTATTTCTAAGAAAGAAATTTCTATCTAGTAATCAGATTAAAAACTTTAATTTATGTACCTAACCCTGAACATCAACTCCCTGTCTCAGAGTAAAGGACCTCAAAACCACTGTGTGGTAAAGCACCACTTTCTTTTTAAATTTCCAATCTATCATGGACAATAATGTAGAAGAGAGTAAGAATGAATTATTACATAAAAAAATGATTTTTCAGGTAATTAAAATTCAAATCCAGTATTTTTATTAGTAGAATGGATACACAATTGCTGACAAGTTGTTCTAAGTTCCCAAATACTATTTCTGTACTTAGCTTGTCATGAACTTTTTAGAAAAATCAGTTCACAGGACGCTAAGTCTACATACCACATTCTTTGCGCCAACAAAAATCATAGGAAGGAGAATGAAAACGGCTACAGTAAGTAAACCCACTACATTCATTTGGCAGAAAGTACTAATGAAGTCAGTGGCAGCGCCACAGAGGAATTTCAGCACACTGAGTCTACACTTAGTAGAAAGACAGAAAACAGGAATACAAATACCGTCTTCTTTCCCCCTTTCCTTAAGTCCCACAGCTATCTCAGTGAAGGTGAGATAAAGTGTGGGTCTCACTGACATTTTTGTTTGAAATTTTACCTTTGTTTCTTCCCCAATCTTATTTTCCCTTTCATAGTGGTGCTGAAGTTGCAGGTTATGCTTTTCTTCTTCTTCTCTCTTCTTTCTTTCTACTTCTTTTCGCCTTTCTTCAGCTAACCGAATGAGCTCTTCATTTTTTAATCTTTGCTTTAAATTAGAGAAAAATACATATTTCATATGTACCTAAGGCAGTACCTTCAAAAATTTGTCAGCTTATTTAAACTAAAGACATAAAGCTAAAAACACAGATGATGTAGTGTACTTTAAAAATAAAAATGTTGTCTGCTTAATAAATGTTAGACGTATTTGATAGCATCAGTCAGCCCATTACTTTGTGTTATCCTGAGGATTCAACTGATGGCCTCAAGCTTGCTAGGCAAATGCTCTGCACTGAGCTACATCGTCAGCCTTCTGTATTCTTTAGTTTGAGCAGGGCATCACTAAATTACACAGGCTAACCTCAACTTTTGATCCCGCCTGCATCAGCTCCTAGAGTAGTTAGGATTACAGGCACATACTACCTAGGCTTATTATCTGGCTACTAATCTCTCTTTTTACATTAGTTTTTCACCTCAGTAAAGTAACACCTAGTGAACGCATTCCTAAATGTACTTTAAGATCATTATTCCTTATAAGTAACAGACACCTTTTCCCAGACTAAATTGTAAACCGGCATAGGGAAAAACTGTACCTCCTCCTCCTTCTCCCTTTTCTTCTCCTGTTCTTCTTCATACTCTTGCTGAATTCGTGCTCTCTGTTCTGCAAGCCGTTTTTCTTCTTTTTCTTCTTCAATTCTCAGTCTTTCTCGCTCTGCTTCTTCTCTTTGTTTTTTTTCCTCAATCTAAAGAATTAGCCATTATTTTATGAAACTATTGAGAAACTAAAATAACTTAATATCCTAAAAATTCAATATTTTATACTCTTTTGCAAGTTCCAAAAAATAAGCCATTGAATTTTTTTAGTGTTCTATCATTAAATATAATGTACTGTTAAAAGCCATGAGTTAAATTTCAGCTCCATTAAATACTGACTGTGTAACCTTAAGAAATTTACTTGAAACCCATTTTCTTATCAAAAAAGTTACTGTTTACACCCCAGAGGAGTGCTTAAAGAATTAAAGTGAAACAGTATGGGAGCATAAAAGTACCTCCTCCATAGAAGGTACTCAATAAATATTCACAACTTTATCATTCTATCATTCTATAAATATTGCTGTTATCATAACTCAAAATTCTTGAACCTAGGTCAGGTGTAGGAGCAAACTCCTGTAGCCGCCACACTTGGGAAGCCGAGGCAAGGGCATAGCCATGAATCTGAGGCCAGCCTGGGTTATACAGTGAGTTTAATGCCACCCTGAACTACATAAGTCAGTCTCAAAAAGAAAAAAAAAGCTCCTTGACTGGATCAGTATTCTCAAACAACAGTGAAATTATACTTTAGTATTCAATCAGTTTTTACATGAGGACTACACCTCCCCAAGATGCTCGGTAAATAAGAATTAAAACTGCAAAAATTGAGAGTGTAGCTCAGTGCATGTTTAGTAAATGTGAGATCCTTGATTCAATCCCTACTGTAAGAAAGCAGGGACAGACAGGAAGGAGACAGAGAGATGGAGGAAGAGCTGAAGAGAAAACAAAAGAAAAGAGGAAAAGAAAAAGAAGGGAAGGAGGAGAGAAGGGAAAAGAAGAGAACCAAGTCTATCACTGTGTAAGACGACTTAGGACACAAGGATTCATGATAAAGTTTAATCTTGAGCATTAAGTCATGAAGGTAGAGGGCTAAGAGAGTCCGCACTCTCCGTGAAGGAGGCAGGGAAGACGGCAACGTGATTACTGGATACTCATGACTCTGCCTTAAAGGTTATCAATAGAGTTTATAACCCTTAGGTATGGATTACAGGTATTTATTGATGTTATTTTTATTTTTATTATCTGCATTTCTTCTAGCTTCAAGGTTACTCTATCTAGTGATGTTAATTTTTTGAATGACAAGAACCCTAATTATCATACACATGTTCCATGATTTTAAAAATGAAACTTTGTAATACTTCTCACAACATTATTAAATTGCATAAGCCTAATATTTAGTACTAAGTAGTATACAAACTTATTCAATACAATGTGTATCTAGAAAATGGTGGGTATGGTAGTACACACCTATAATCCTAGGACTAAAGAGGCTGAGGCAAGAGGATTGCTGTGAGTTTGAGGGCAGTCTGGGCTACATAGTGAGTTCTAGGACAGCTTGAACTACACAGCAAGATGCTATCTCAAAAAAAGAAAAAACCATGTATCTAGAGAAAACATCATTTATGATCCAACAAACCTCATACTCAGCACTGAACTCCTCCTTCTTCCTATTCCTGTATTACTTACTTGTGCAGATCTTGGACTGAAGATTCTTTTGCCATTTTTCTGCACAATTTGTGATACTTTGAAATACTTAATACTTAAGTTTTGAACACTTCTTATCTGAAAATACTTTTTAATAGTAATAATAAATATTATTTGTCTGTTATACTTTATAATTGTGTGTTAGATTTCATTTTGAGGTTAAAAAAAAAATTTTTTTAAGAAGCTCCTAAAAGAAAAACTTGAAAACCACCATCTGAGAGCCATCTAGCCAAAGGCGCTCTAAGGTTTATTAGGGTGGAAGAACTAGAGGCTGAAACTAATAAAGTCAAAGCTTCTCCTGTCACTGGTAGTTTCTTCAGAGGGAAAGACTCCCTACAAATCCTATGAATCCAAGGGTGGTACTGAAGATATGATACTTGAAGTCAGAAGACATGGCTGCAAGCAGTGGGCTCACAATTTTCTTTTCTTTTTGGATGGAGGGCCTAAATTTTTATCTATTTATCTGAAGTTTTTAGTTTTAGTTTTTATCAGTGCATGCTGGTAGTACACAATGTGGACATCCCTTGCATGGAGTTGGTACACGCACATAACAACACATCTTAATTCTTTTTTCATCTCCTTCCACTCCCCACCCCTCCTCCTTCTATCTCTTGATTCTTTTTCCATGTGAAAAATTCTGTCTCCTTACTTTGTTTTTATTTTGTTCTTTGTTAGTCTGTGTTTTAGTTACTTATCCTAAAATAGATACAATATATCTCCCAGAAAACTTTAAAGCTTAATAAAATACTATATGCAAAAATATTTTATACACAAAAAACTATACAGTTGCAAAAGTTTGGGAAACAGGTTAGTAAAAGCTAACTTAGACTAGGGTAAGACTTGCTGAGTAAATTGGGGCAATTTAAATTTTGACTTGTCATCATGAGCAACATATCACAGAACCTTCAGGTTGAAAGGTCTGTTGCAGTCTGACTGGGATGATCTTAGGAACTCTGACACTACTCCCTCACATCTATATTCACACTCTCTTGATCTGTAAAAAGGACTTTCCATTCATTTCACTGTCACTGCTCTACATTAAAATATGTTTCTAGTTTTTTCAATGCTCCGTTAATATATCCTAAACATTAATGCCAGAGAAATTATCCTCAATGACTACATTCATTAAAGATGACTTGTTGGAGTGAAATCTGTTTAAGAGATTAGGATTAGATTGGATAACTTTAAATGTAAAGGTGAGGGGTCTGTAGGTATATAAAATATACTGCGAGGTTTTTAGTAAAAAACAACAGATGTGAAAAGTTTTATCAAAGGAAGATTAACCAGGGCACAGAATTAATCTGACACTGAGTTAAGTGTAGGCAAGGAAGGAGGCAAAGAAAGAAGAAACTATGAGTCCCTTTTGGGCAAGTATTACATTCATCTTAAGCTCTGTTACTAGTATGCAGCACAAGAGTGGACGTAATGTGAAGTCTGACAAGTCCATTCACTTAAAAAAACACTACATGCTTAAGAGTCTCCCTCTGGGAATAACTTTGGCATCTCTACTATTTTAAATATTAAAGTAGTAACTCAATTTATGTGCTTAAATGGAAAGAGTCATGGAAAGAATTAAATTCATGGACCAAGGTACCCTATATTTCCCTATATAGCAACGGGGCATATAGCTGCAAAATGTAACAGTATCCAATTTTTATATATTTTCAGTCTACACTAATGAGTCAAGAATATAAAATTATTGGAGAAAAAGAATGATTTTCATAAACATATATAAAGATTTATTCTTTACCCAATACATGAATATATGGCCGAGTTTTAGAATCTCAGCATTCTTTCACAATGAATGCTCTAGCAAAATTTAGAAAAGCCAATTACTATACTTAGTACACTACATCTCACTTCGTATTTTCAGATAAAACATTGTAGTACTACCCACATTTGATGTAAATGATATATCTTAAATAACTTTCTGGCATTTTAAAATTTAGGATGTGTCCTAAAATCTCTGCTAGTTTTTTGCTTTGAAACAGTATCTCAGTATTTAATTTAGACTGGTCTTGAACTCACTATGTGGGCTGAGCTGGCCTTGAATTTACAGCAATCCTCCTGCCCCAGCCTACCAAGTGCTGGGATCTGCTAGTTTATTAGAATTCTTATAACACTTGAAGATTATGACCAGATAGATGAGTCTTTCACCTGAAAACGAAGAAAATTCTTGTATAATTCTTGCTGTTTAATCTGAAGTTCAGTTGGAGGCTCAGCAAATATATTTCCCCGAGCAAAAGGAGAGCTCTGTGTTTGCACGTGGCCTTGAAAAAGACATTTTGCAAAAACACACCATTAGGAAATGTTAAGGTTAAATAAAGAGTTTGCTAATAAATTAATTTTGGAAAAACTGCTAAATACAAATATCCAAAGGTCAACACCAGAAGAGGAAGGCTGAAACTAGAATCTGAAGGTCAGTGAGGAATAGGAAGAAAAATGGTAAGACTAAAATATTTGAAAAATCATATTGTATCTATAACCGCTAAAAGATATCAAAGAAATATAAAAGCTAACAGCCTAAAGAAATCAGCTCACAACAAAGTCTGTAAATTAGAATTTATGAAAAGAAAAATATAAAAATTTTTATGTATATGAATACCCACTACTTAAATAATAGTTCTCAGAAGCATATTAAATATATTATGTAAGTATATATTTAAAATTTCTAAAATTATTTTTAAAAGTCAGTAATTCCAAAATTCTTCCAAGCTATAGTTCAAATAATTTATAGTCAGCAATAAAATCATTTTTAAGAAATTAAAATGAGTCTTAATCATTGTAATGATTTTAATTTTTTAAACTATTAAATGGGATTTCAATACAAAAATTTAAAAATACATGTTATCTATATGTATTTTATATATTCTTGAAGAGAAAATTATTTCATAAAAGCAATTTGGAAAGCAATTATTCCTTGGGAGACCCTTTGAATACAGTAAGAAAAATGTGGCTTTTTAATATTATTTAGTTTCTAATTCATTCTTAGTATCACCAATCTAAAGCATTATTTCCTATATTTGTGTCATTTTGTATGGTCAAATCACTCTACCGTTTAACTACTATCCAGCTCTACTATGTCTCTGTATTTAATTTTATTAATGTTTATTTGAACAAATCAGCAGAAAGCCAAATCAAGACTTAAACATCATGAATTTTCTTTTCCACTAAAAAATGTTCCTAATGAAAACTAAATATACAATTTGATGGTTCTTTTATGCAGTGTTGGAAAAGCTGAGCAAAAAAAAATTTAGTCTTTCACCTTCTAAACTTTTGGGGCAATTGAAGAAAATATATTAGAGACAAACAAAATAAATCTTTTCAGAAATAACTTTAAAAATAAAGCCACAACAAACATTTACTCTATCCAAAGAAAATATAAATGTATCTAATCATAGTAAGCAAAAAAAATAAAGGTAAGTCAGATCAGTATTGAACTACAAAAAGCAACTCATTTGAGAACCACAAGTAAAAGATGAAAAAGATGGGGGAAATAACAAAACCCACAGAATTTTGTTAAGGTCCTCAAAAGTAGGTCTAATGATGAAACATCAGAGGACAATGAACCTTAAATTACATTAACATTCAACTTTCAGATATAATTGAACTCTCTTTTAAAAACTCGTTAAAAAAGCTTTAAAAAAAAAAAAGTAAATGTAGCTAGCCTTGGAGACACAGGCCTATAATTCCAGTCAAAAGGCTAAAGCAAGATGATGACAACTTCTAGGCTAGCCTGGACAACTCAGTGATGTGTTGTCTCAAAAAGAACCTTAAAAGGGGATGGGATGGTGGGATATAGCACAGTGGTGGAACCTTTGCCTAGTATACACAAGACCCTGAGTCAATCAATCCCCAGTCCCACAATAAATAAATAAATACATACATACATACATACATACATACATAAAAAATGTATGTGCACATGTGCACACAAGTATATATAGAGATACAGATACATATACATATTGTATATATAAATATGTAAGAGCACAAATTACACAGCTTTGGATAGTTGCTTGCATTTAGAAAGTTTATTTTAGATTAATTCTTCGGGAAACATTTAATATAAGAAATTTTAATTCAGGGGCTGGGGATTTAGCTCAGCGGCATAAGTACCTGCCTTGCAAGCAGGCAGTCGTGAGTTCGATCCCTGGTACCGATAAAAACGAAAAAGACCAAAAAAAAAAACAGAAATTTTAATTCATAAAGATTAAATTTTAAATATTTGGGTTTTTAAAAAATGATTTCTTAGAACAGAACATTTTTTTCTGGCAAATATCACCAGCACAAAAATCTGATGGCAGGACAGAAAGGACACTGACAAGTTTTTCGGTATATATTCAGTCATCACCCTTATGCTCTTGGGAAGGAGTCATAGAAACTACTATTTTCTAGTGTTTTTACTTAGTGAACAGAGTTAGTTGCTTAAAAGTGTTATTACTAATAATAAGTTCTAGGCTGCAATATAACTACACATAATAACAGCTATGAAACAAAAGAATAGAGAGGAGATCCAAAGTACTGAGATTTCAATACAGAGTACTAGAAGCAGCAGCAAATGAGGAAGAGAAAACCAATGATAATCAAAAAGAAGCCAAAATTCTCTCAGCAGCAATAACACAAAAAGTGTTTTGATGATCCCATCATACATTGAATTATTACAGATTAAGACAGCAAAATTAATAATTTCATCAAAATCAAAGGTGCCAAAAATCAATACTGGATCCAAAGGGCAAAAAAGTAAATCTTTACTGTAGATCAAAAAAAGCCCTCCTTTTTCAAAATTAAGAGATCAAATGATGACACAAGCTGTCCATATAAAAAGAAAAAAAGTCCTATCTCCTAAAGTAATTTAAAGGATTGCATAGATTAAAGGGTATGAAAAATATATAGCTAATATCACTAACTACAGCTCCCTATTTACTGGTTAACCAGTAAGTCATAAAGGTAAAAAAAAAAGCCCAAAACTGCATGAATAGTCATGAATATATTAGAACTTTCTAATGTAAAGTTGCTTTTGAGTTGATATTCAAAACTTCTGTGAATGCACAAAAGCAGTTTTACAGTAAACAAATGTACTTTTATAAGCATCAGAATATAGTTCAAGGAGTATATTCTTTAAATTTCCTTTGACTTTTAAATATAATATCTTTTCATATATGCTTCATAAAGATAGACTTTTCCTTGCAAGTTATAAAAAATGATACTGAATAATTTTAATTTCTAGAACCTTCAATTAACGGATGCAACATAACAGTAAGTCAAGGATATCTGTTTAAGAAAAAAGGCTATGGCCAGATACTGAATTTGTAAATACTTGGCTTATTACAAGGAAGAATTTTACAAGGTTAAGTGATCACTAAAACAAGCAATAAAAAAATCTTCTTTTCTATCATAATATACTTCATACCTTGTCACTAAATCAATCATAAGTGTAAGAAGTAAACTGTATATGTGTAAAACTGTTTGATTTTAACTAGCAAAATAAAAACGTTAGCAGCAGCTAAAGTAAATGTAGCAAGTTACAAAGCTGAGAAGAAATACAGAATATTATGCAGTAAACTTCCCCTGCTCAACTTTTTTCAAAATAACTATAAAGGAAATAAATGTATTATCAATAACATAAATAATAGGCTATCCTTCTGAACCAGAACAACCAAATTCTCAAAATCACAATAAGAACTCTGGAACTCTGTCAAAGAACAAAGGAAATATGATACTGAACAACTTTAGAAATGTAAAAGAAAAAAAATAGAATGTGATTAAAAACCTGAGTTGTTATTTGCAGAATCTTCTAGGTTCTCAGCATTTGAAGTGGCTAAATTTTGGTCTAGAGATACAACAGCCCTTTTATCTTCATATGTTCTTGCATCTGGGTTATGGTAGGCATCTATATTTTGTTTGTGCATCCTATTCAAATCAGCTAAGAGGGAAAAATAAGCCATTTATTTTAATAAACACATGTCTATAATTTACTGGTAATCTTAATATATTTTCTTAAAATAGAGAATAAGAAAAAAAAAGACAAATCTGAGAATAATTCAGTGATAAGTTAGTGCCCTGCAAACAGATACAAAATTATCAAAACTTTGACATTTTCAAAAAATAATCCTACAAATTAACTCAAAATTAATAGAGAAACTAAGGACATACAAATCTTTGACATTCCATAAATCCATATTGACAGTTATTTCAGACTTTAGAATTTCTTTAATAGAGAACAAACAGCAAAACAAATTATACTGAAATTTACCCAAAATCATCAGCTCCCTCAACGAAAACACATATTCATGTGGACTGTAGTTTTAAAATACATCCACAAATTCTTTAACAATCCTGAAATAACAGAACTCAATACTCCCTACAGTGTGATCCAGAGTTAATAATTCACAACTTCTGACTAGCATATTGTAAAACTTATGACATATGACTTCTAATGCTGGTTCATAAATGACACAGTTTCCATCTTGATTGATCCACAGATCACTTGCTCCAAAGAAAGCTAAGTGCCATATCATAATGACACTGAAGGAGCCTTGTGAAGAGGGCCATTTGGAAAGAAGCTGAGCTATCCTAAGCCATGCTAGGGAGCTATACAGGAAATACGTTATGAAGCCATTATCAAGCCTTCAGCTATCTGGAGGTCTAGCTGATTATAATCTCAAGTGAGACTGTAAAGCAAATTAACCAGCAAAGTACTCACAAATTATTGACTCGCAAAACTTCAAAATGGTAAGTTTTTATAATTTTAAAACACCAAGTTTTGAAGGCAGTTCACTATACAGCAATAGATATGTAAAACACAGCAAAAGTGTGAGCACACAGAACTGATCCAAACAACCAATCTCAGAAAGACTTGAACATCTGCAAAACTCAAACACTTCATTTAAAAATACAATCCTGAACACAAAGCAACTCTTCTCCTCACCCCTACCTACCCCAAAAACCTGGGATAATATGACAGCAATGAAAGTGATCTTTAAATCCAGATATAAGAAGCATTTATCAGAAGCATGTGTATTCAAGGATGTATTTTTGAACATGAATCACAATTAGAATACCAGACTAAACTCCGTAAACAACATGCAAATGTTACAAAAGAGAATGGAAGTTCATAATCAAGAAAGTTCACATCTTGCTACAACATTAAGGACAGCTTGGACTTAGAAAATGGATAGATCCTTCAAAGGTAAAGATGAGTGGGAAAGAATAATAAATAGAACAAGGTGAAAAAATAAATATGAAGAGTGTTCTGACCTACAGCACAAAGTATATAAAAGAGTAATGACAAATAAAAATAAACTATAGATTATATGCCTGCTCTGAAACAACCTAAAATGTATCATAGTTTTAATTCTGTTCTGTAGATGGTAATGCACAGAGTCTGAGAAGTTACTGACTCTCTGGTAATAATGGCAAGCATCATTAAAAGTTTAGCATTTTATGTACCACAAAATAACCCATACTGTTATTTTTACCCCTGTATCATATATAAGAAAACTGAAATAAATTAATTTGTTCAAAGATCAAAGTGAGTGAATGGCAGAGTAAGAATGTAAACTTGGGCAGTTAAGATTCCAGAATCCTCCATAATCTTTGAATATGGAATAAATTGGTCAGATTTTTGATACATGTTAAGGCATGTAGTGAAAAACAAAGGAGGATAATGAAGTAGTAAAAAGGAAATGGTAAGAACCCAGGTAAACACAATAAATCTCAATTTCAGTAATAGTACAAATTAAAACGAGAGTTAAGAAACAATAAAGAGGCAGAATCTACACATAAGGTTTTACTGATTGACTATAAATAGAAATTCAAAAGCACTCTGCAACTTTCGGTTTGAATGGTCAGAATTATGGTACCATTAATGGAGAAAGCACATAAAGATGAGTTTAATTTTAAACATCGATTCTGCACACCAGTATACACAATTTACCAAACGTCAAGTGCAGAGATGCCAAATACAGGCTGGAAACAAAGTTTTTTTTAAAAGAAATGAGGAACAGCAAACAAAGATTTGAAGATCATCTGTAGAGAAGTCCTGAGGAACTGCAACAGAGATGATATGAGGTAGGAGAGAATGAGTGTCTCTGACAAGATCACATTTACAGACCAAATATAATCTAGTTTATATAACCAATAAATACTAACCAAAGCAAAAAGAAAACATTTCAGCACATGCACAGTACTTAATGGAAGGAAGGAACTGCTAAATCATTTCAAAGAACACGTGACTCATTGAAATTAGAACAATTACTTTGCAAAGGGTAGCATTTCTAAGAGATAAAAACCAGAGGTCGTACTATGGCTTAAGCAACAAGAAGGTGGTACAAAATGATAGCAACAAACAAAGGCTTTTAAAAATGTATTTTATGTGATAAGAGAACCAGCATGATCAAGACCAGAGTACTTATCTACTTGTATTTTATACTAATAACATAAAAGAATACAAATGTGCTCAACATGTTCAGAAATAGAGAGGAAGAAATGAATGGAAAAACCTGTAAATGTAAGAGGGACAGATGAAATTAAACTGATGGCAAAAAATTCCAAAGTGCTAAGAACCAGCAGACTAAGTATGTGTTCCTGAAATTATCATGAAATCCTGTCTTCTATTAGAATATGGGAGGAAAACAAAAACAGAAAGATGATGAAAAAATTAAGACCACACGCTCATGTCATCATGTTTACATGTCTCCCCAAAGCCTCAGGTAGTCATAGGTGTGACTTTAAGGGATCTAGAGTGTGTGATGCTGAGACAAGACAGAGGTAGGTTAGTGTAGTTCTGGGTATGAATAATGGGAAGGCCCAACCTGGTGTGAGTACTACCTGCACTAAAGGCTTGCAGTCTGGATAGAATACAAGTGACAGAAAAAGGACTGCTGTGGTCATTGGCTACTTGCCACTCATCCCTTGCTGTTTGCTACTTTGCTGCTTTGCTGCCCTACTGTCTACCATGAACAACAATGTTTCTCTTCTGTGATGTCCCTCTGCCATGCCACCTGGCTTAGAGCCAGCCACCATGGACTGAAACCTCTACAAACTGTGAGCTGAAATAAACCTTTCCTTCTTAATCTTGAGTGTCAGGTATTTTGTCTCACCAAAAACTGCTAAGAATTGTGGTCCCTTGAGAAATACATCAAATAATATAACTTGAATGGGAAATCAATCTCATAAGTCATCCAGTGCAACTGCCTAGTATAACACTGGCCTGTGTACGTACAAAATTAACTATAAGGGCCAGAGATATAGCTCAGCAGCACAGTACCTGCCTGGCAAGCACAAAGCCCTGAATTTAATTCCTGGTACCAAAAAACCAAAAAATTAACTATAATATTACACAGAATATTCTTCTACCTTTTTCTATTAGTAGACAGTAATATATGGAGCTCATTCATTCCTACATGACACCCAGAGCACTGCTACCAAACAAGTGAGTATTCAAGGAATGCATATCTTACATTGATAGTCACCTACCCAAATTATATGTTAAGAGAAAAATATCTCAAAAAAATACTTGTAATAAACTTCAAAATCAGTAGCACAATTTACTATTGTGATTATACATGTAATTACAGTAATATTCAATGTATTTATATAAAAAATTTCACTAAGAATACGTGATTTTCAAGATTTGAGATGATCAGATTTAGCAACAAAGTTCATATTGCTTTATACTAGAAGAAAATAAATGTTTTGTCAGTCACTCAGTCACTCCTTGTTCATATTCCTGTGAAGTGGTACAACAAAGGTTTAAATTTAGCTAAAACATAAAAGAAAAAAATAAGCTATTTTGGCCATAAGTGTAATTTGCCAATTTCAAACACAGGATTTTATGTTAAATATAAATCACTATTCATGAACAAAAACACAACTGCAGGGAAATACTTCAAAAATTCAACAATTGGGATCTCATCTCATTAAAAAGTTTTTGCACTTCAAATGAAATCATCAACAGAATGAAATGAAAACCCACAAACTGGGAAAAAATTTTAGCCAGCTGTCCCTCAGACAAAGGACTTCTATCTACAACATATAAGGAATTTTAAAAAAAAGTCAGGCACCTCAAATTCAAAGACCCAATCCAGATAAAGAAATACAAATGTCAAACAAGTATATAAAGAAGTGTTCAACATCATTGATCATTTGAGAAATACAAATTAAAACCATGAGATTTCACCTCACCCCAGAAAGAACAGGTATCAAAATCACCCAGTAATAAATGCTGGAGGACCTGTGGGGAAAAAAGGAACTCTTCTCCAGTATTGGTGAATGTAACCACTATGCAACCACTGTGGAAATCCACCAAAAAACTAGGACTTGAGGTCCTAGTCGACCCAGCTACTCCCCTTCTGGGTATTTTTCCAAAAGAATTGAAAACATCATACCACAGCTATATATGTGCACCCATGTTTATAGCAGCACAATTTGTAATAGCTAAATCTTGTAAACAACAAAAATGTCCATCAACCAATGAATGGATAAAAAAGATGTGGCCTTTTAAACAATGGAATACTGCTCAGCTATAACGAAAGATAACCTGAAGGCTCTTATAGATAAATGAATGCAACTAAGACCATACTCACAAGTGAAACAAACCAGACTCACATATGTAAACATCTGTATTGTCTCTCTAATGTAAGAAACTGAAAGAGTAAATAAGATCCAAAAGGTACAATGGGTACTATGAAAGGGAAAGAAACTGCTCAAAACGAAAGAACAACTGTCAGAATGAATAGCCAAACTATGAAGCCAGAAAGCAGATCACAGGTTGGTGGCAACAGATGATTGAGCAAGAAGACTATGAAGGGATAAATGAAACTTAGCAGAACTTGAAATGTCTTCTATCTTGATTGTGTTGTTGGTAGTTATCACAAGTTGTCAAAAACGACAAAACTTTCAATGTAAATTTTATACAATAAA